GCGTAAATAACAAAGGTGATACTTACATATTATTACTACATACAAAATTAAAAATACTCATCATCTAATATGTCTAACTAAATTCATTTATATGAGGGCTACCATTATCTGTCTCACCAGATGGCGCCACTGTTAAGTGAGGTCCAGCTGACACCTACTGTGGATTTTGACAATAGTCTGACAGTTAATGTTGATTCGTCACTATATGGAGGTTGTGGAGTTTGACAGTTAATGTCGATATGTCGCTTTATCATATCGCGTTTCGGTGGTCATGCTAGAGGGGCTGGATTATGTATATTTTAAAGTTTATTAATACGCGCGTGAATTCAAAGTTTAAATCAGATTTTAATACAAAAGAACCACAGTGATGCGCAGTACTGTTTTGTTTAAAAAAAAGGAGGACATATTAATTTTTCTTAGCTCCGCTTTTAAATAACTGACATTCATTGCCACGTAACTCATATTTGCCATAATTAAGCCGAGTTATTACGAAATATTCACAAGATTATTTAAATTTGAAATAAACCCACGTAGTCAACCCATAAGCAATATGATAATGACATTTCGGAGACTTCACGCTACACTAGCGCCGCTAGCGGCGGATTTATACGCGATAGGCCTCATTATTAAAATGCTCTTTGTTTTTTATATTGGTCCCTTTAATTGCTTAAATTAGTATTTTTGCTTTCGTCCATACGAAAACCATTTCAAAAATGTGTATTAATCTACGTAAATTACTTAATTAATACACATTCATGCCGTTCCCATAAAAAATAATTATAATAACCATTATGCAATTGTCCATCTGATATATCTAAAAATACATACACAACTATCAAAGGATCTCCTTTTTTGTAGATATCGGTTAAATAGATAAATAAGGCTGTCTGTCTGATGTTAAAAATTATACATACAGACGAATTGAGAACCTCCTCCTTTTTTGAAGTCGGTTAAAAAGTTGAATTTTATCAATAAAGAGTTCCAAAGCGTTTAGTCTGCAAATTTGTTCAAAGGAAAATTCTTGCTATCTACGTTTAATATCATGTTACCTTCTCACTAAATAACATGACCTACATACGAAATAACAATACGACGCTACCCAAGTTGTAAGAAATTCAACGCCACCTATTTGTAAGTAGGTCGCGTAAGCAATTCTTTAATTCGATGCAAATATGCAGAATTTTATAAAAAAAAATATCAAGCATCAACATTAATTTGTCTTTGTAGCAAAAAACTTAGTACATACTTCCTACTAATTCCATGATCTTGTAGCTCATAAATTAGTAGTTACACCTATTCAAATCAATGTTAAACAAATCCTTAAATACTATACAATCCAGGTCGTGACTGGACCCACAGTCCATCTAAGAAAAAACTTATAAAAAAAAATATTTCAAATTCATTAGGTACCTACCTAATTTTTGCAAACAACTTTTAAAAAGTTGATATGAAATCCGTAATAAACTATGGCCTAACTTAATACCTACCGCATCCACCATAAAGGATCTAAAACTAAGCAAAAAAAATTCGCAAAACATGATATTGTACAAAGCAAAGGCACTCGAGTGTTTCAAATGTACCTAATTGGAAATCTTAAGATGGGGACCAAAAAACCTATAGGAATTCTAGCCGAGTTAAACTTTGCTATCTTGGCCTGGCCTAGATATTGTAATTTTGTATAAATGGGCATAATTAATACGCATACTAATTAAGTTCATTCTGAGTGAGCCTCACAAAAATCTGTCGCACCGGGTCTAAGCCCGTACTTTTTTGGTGGGAAACTTTTTTTTTTTAATTTTCGCAAAGACAAAGTTTTGCTAACCGAGGCCGGCCTTCTGTTTCATCATTTGTCGTTGGCGGAACTCCTCTTGCGCCTGCCGCTGCCTGCGCTTGCGCTCAGCTCGCGCCTCTTCGCTCGCGTCACTCGGCAAAGGTAGCAGCATCTCCTAAAGGAATACCAGATCACTCAAGATGGAAATTTCTTGGGCTAACAGAGGTAAGGCGCAGTGGATTTTCAAAGTGAGTATATTCCACCTCATCATCATCAGCCTATTAATGTCCCCACTGCTGGGGCACAGGCCTTCCCTATGGATGGAATAGAGAGATTGGGCCACGCGGGCCCAGTGCGGATTGGCGGGTGCTACCGACTGCAGATGCAGCCGGGACCAACGGCTTAACGTGCCTTCCGAAGCAAGGGGGAACTCGAGTTAGATGTTTTTGGTCACCCATCCACTGACCGACCACTGCGAAAGTTGCTTAACTTCAACCATCGCAGCCGAACGCGCTAACCACCTGCGCCATCGAGCTCCTCGCCATTCCACCTCACAGAAGAGTTAATGGATCACTGTAGCGTAGCATGAGCTTAGGGTAAATAACACGAGAGTTATATCCTGGTATTTTGTCTATAAGCTGAAGTGACTCCTTTTACTTGAATACAATTCTGCGTGGCATAGTTGTCCAAGTGAACAAGAAAATAAACTCCCATATTTATGTCACTTGTAATGGAGACTAGTTGAAAATTTATGAAATATATGCATATAAAGAAAAGTTTTACTAGAAAAAAATCTCGACGGGACTCGTACCCGCACCCTTCGCAATCCGGGCGAGTGCGGTTTCGAATCCCGTCAGCTGCCTGGTCCGCGTGGTTTTTTTTCTAGTAAAACTTTTCTTTAGATTTAAACATCTAGCAGTTAAATGATTAAAAATAAATAAAAACATATATGCATATGTTGGATTGGGAACGGAAACTAAACGTAGAATTCACCACATGTTGGTTTTCCCGTACTAGCTAGTATAATTTGTTATCGATACAAGTTCTGCAAACTTCCAGCTTGTATTTCGGCAGTTTTTTTATGGGTTGAACCAAGATTCATCACAATCGGTTCAGCTGTTTAGGTGTGACAACGTAACAAGGATAAGGACAACAATTATTGTTTCACTTATTCTATGGTTATTTATGTATGTTAGGCCAATTTGTAAACGGAAATCCAAGTGGATGAAACAAAAGATGTGCAAATAATTTAAAAAAAAGTTTGTGTTTTTTCAAAGTTACTTAAGATGCCATAGGTATTGTGATGCAATCCAGTGATTACATATTTAAAAATAATTATAAATTAAATATAAAAAGCTAATAAGTTATTTCAAAAAATAAGGATTACATTACGATAGTGGATGAAAATGTAAACATATTGTAGATTCAAACAATTTTATTATAATAAAAACAAGAAGGTACTGCGTAATTCACACATAGTCATATTTTAAAATTACTTAGTTATCTACAGTATAACATTGCAATTCCTTTATAAATATGTAACATCACATATTAACCAATTCCTAGAAATGTGTCATAATTAAATGAAAGGTCTGGGAGGATGATAAAAAGAGTCTTTGTTGTATAAAAACTATCTAACTCACAAACTGATTAAAAAGTATACTTGTCGTAAATACACATTTTATTTGTATAAAAATTACTATACTTCGTGTGGTTTACATAAGTTAATATATAGCAATGAATTAATAATTAGTTAGACTACATTGCTACTGTAAATTGTACTTTAACTACATGCATCAAAATTTTACTAAAACTACACTGGTGAAAATATTTTATTGGTGATGTCAGTGATTTTTACGCAACAAAAAACTAGAAGTCATGTAATTGTTTTTGAGAGTATAATGTAGTACATAAATGTAGTGTCTGAGTGACTAAATTACTGAGGTACCTACAAAATCTTAAAAAAATATTAACAAATGTAAAAAGTCCTTAAACACTAGAATTACAGTTACACTATAAATCCATCTTTTACTTCATCCACAAGTGCTTAATTTAGGCTTGCCAGATGGCCGGGAAATCCGGGATTGTCCCGGAATTTTGCGTTTTGTCCCGTGTCCAGTAATAAGACCTTATTGTCCCGGATTCCGATAATGTGCTAGTGTCGTAACAAAATAAACTAATAACGAATGACATCGCTGGCCTACTTGATGTTTTAATTCTGGGGGGTGATGGGGGCGTTTTGATTTGATGCTTTATTTTTTCAGGGGGTGGGGGGAGTGCAATGTCCCGGAATTGTTAAGCCAGCATCTGGCAACCCCAGCTTAATCTGAGTGGTGACTACCAACATTTAATGTCGATTACTACATAACATCTATTCAAAATGCCTTTCTATGACACTATGTATATTAACGGCATTAATAGCTATAGGTGTTGATAAATTTTAATTTAAGTGTGCCAAATATTATAATTTTATTCTCGATTTAGACTCAAGTTATCAATTCGCACATTCAAAACAATAGTTAAAAGGCAGTTCCTATGCATAGCGAATTTGATTTGTTTTGATGTGAAAAAAAGATTTTTTCTTTATACTTACTATTGGTATTTTACGTATTATGGTACTTTTGTGTTCGAGTGCCATATATCAAATGTTCCAATGAGTGCTGGCTGCTATATGCCCTTATTAAAATCTTTCTATTTCTCAAAAAGCAGAACTATTACTTTACTGATAACTGCATTCCAATCAATCTTTGTATTCCCATTTCAGACACGTAACTAACCTATGTGTTCTATCAAAACACTTAAATCTAATAACTCGAAAAACTTTAAAAAATAGTGTACAATTTATGAGATTTCTAACTCACACCTCTGAAACTTTCTTAATATAATAATAATTCATTCACTCGTAGACACCAAGCTGATTTAATTTTTTGATATTTGAGGTGTTCAGAGTGTACGTAACTTTTAGTACATTTACTGATCTACCCCGAGAAGGGAGACTGCTGTTACAATTTCATTGGGGCAAGATTATTGGAAGTCCTTCACTTAACTAAAAAATGATAAATTAGGTGCTTACTGTTAATGCCCATTGTATATTTATGTATACAATGAATACTAACAACCGCACTTGAAGGTGCCATCAAATTTAAAGCTTGTCAAAATTACTTGTCTTATTCTATTGCTAGACAGCAACGTCAACTTGAATAAAACTTGAAAATTTGTCGACATCTCTGAGAATGACAGTAAATTTCTGTTAAGGTAAATATAACCTGGTTGTTTGTCATTTACTGAGATCGTCGAGTAACGGCCTCTGTTCACTCCGTACTTAGGTGGCATTAAGACTTAGGGGGGTCCTGCTGATTTCCAGGCGACGTGGACTCGCGGGAGGGATCCTCCGGGAACTGCTTCTCCACCTGCTCTGCGACCCACTTCTTCACCTTCTGCTCGGTCCAAAAGCCATCGTAGAAAATGGTCGGTTTGATCCAGCAGCCCTGCGCCTGCTGCGGCCCGTACTGCATCTCACCGTCAGAACGACACGCACTCTTACACTCGACCGATCCGCTGCGACTGTTCACCACCAAGCTCTTCGGAGGGATATTGAAGTTGAGATTCACGTTACCGTGGTGGCGGTCGTAGCTCTCGTAGAAGTGCCACGGGCCCGAACACTCGTAATAGGTGTTCGGGAAAACGTGCGGCGCTCCTACGGGCGGGCCGAGACGGGGCGGGCCGTACAACGGGGGCATCACCGGCTGGAGGACGAAACTTACGTTGGGGTTCGGGCGAATCTGAGGCGGCGGGGCTGCGGGGGGCAACTGGGGGGCTGCGGGTGGCAACTGGGGCGCTGGAGGGCGAGGCAGCGGGGCGCGGGGAGGGGGCAACGCGGCCGGCATCGGGTGCGCTTTGGCCACGGGAGGGGGGTTTGCAACTAAAGGAGTTCCGTGCGCCGCGCGAACGTTTATCTCCGGCTCTTTTCTCGTCGCTCGCGCGGGAGGGGAAGCTTTCTCAGGCTTAGGTAATACGGGCTCGGGTACAGGATCCGGCACTGCCGTTGCCAATGGCACGACTTCGGCGCGTGTTTCGAGCGATTCCATGAGCTCGTTGGCTACGCTACCGCCGAAGCTTAGTAATGTCTCCCGCAAAGCGTTCGTTACGGCGCTCTAGAAAGAAAGTTAGGTGATGAGAAGAATGCACATTGTCGTGAAACTTTAGAGCAAGCTTGTTTTAGTTTGTTTTTTGTTTCAATAATCAAAGAAACATCGCTTCCCAGCAAAAAAAGACACATACACACCGATGAAGTGACAGAAGCGACTGAGTGAGAAATAAAACTATGTGCTGTCTAGTTGTCACTATATAACGATGACATTACAGCCAGGCAAATGAAAGATTTGCTATTTAATGCTTCAAAGATATCAAAATGCACCTAACACACGTTATGAAATTTTTTGCAGGGAGGCGACATGTAGGAAGACATACTTTATTTATGTTATAGTGGAAACTGTGATGATGTTTATCTCATTGTTTGTTTCCCAAATAAAGATAAAATAAAAATATACTTGTAACAACAAAATAAATTAAACTCACAAAATTCACTAAAAACAATTATTATTATGTTTAATTAAATTAGACACATAAAAATTCAATTATGTTCTTTCATTCATACCTTTCTACTCTTGTAAATAGCAAAGCCTTTGTTTGCAGCGAGTGAAGTTGCATATCCAATATTCTCCCTGTGGACGTCTATATTCTTAACTGTGATGGACACATATGCAACCACTCCTGCACAATACTTGCCATTTGCATAGTCTACAAAATCTGAAAGACACAAAAAATATTTATTTTTTAATGTGTGGGTTGGAGAATGTGATTCTAATTTACAACTGAATTGTGGGTTATTCCCCATTGAGCCATTAAAAGTGGAAGCAAAAGTCTTTTCAACTGCTTATGCACTCCAAAGAAAGGGAATTATTATTAATTGAAAAGTCATCTAACATTGAATTTCTTTATATGACTAATTTATTGTCATTTATCTTGGAGCTTAAGCCAATGAAAAACGAAAATTAAACTTGTACAGCTGACCCGAGCTGAAACTCTTTTTTTTTCAAATGTTTTGAGAGCCAGAGTTAGTAAAAATAAAGAAGAAGTCTTGTAAGCCTAACCATAGATAGTGTAGTGATGAGAATTTGTAGAACCTTATCATACATCAAACAATTGATCAATATCCATTAGATTTAAACTGCCAGCTGCCAGCTGGGCCCCAGCCCCCAGAGACGTATGGAATAACATCACCCCTGGACTGGGTCTGACAAATAAATAAACAAACAGACGGAAAACACAAAATGCATAAATCAGACCACTGTTAAAAAAGAGAATAAATAAATATAATAAAATAAAAAGAACTGCCAGCTGGTAATTGATAAACATTGTTGACATATTTGCTCTCAAACCATTTGAAAGGGAATAGTAGTACACATTCATCATCAGCCTATTTATGTCCCCACTGCTGGGGCACAGGCCTTCCCTATGGATGGAATAGGGAGATTGGGCCATGACCCACCACGCGGGCCCAGTGCGGATTGGTGGGTGTTAACGACTGCAGATGCAGCCGGGACCAACGGCTTAACGTGCCTTCCGAAGCACGGAGGAGCTCGAGATAGTATATTTTTGGTCACCCATCCAATGAACGACCACTGCGAAAGTTGCTTAACTTCAACGATCGCAGCCGAACACGCTAACCACTTGCGCCATCGAGCTCCTCTGCGCCATCAAGCTCCTCAGTAGTACACATTATGCTAACTCAAGTTTTAATAACAAATGCTATTGAGCATGCTACAGTTTCTGTACATTTATTTTTACTTTTTAATTTGGTTTGCTTGTTATTTTTTGTAATGACTAGTGTGCAAATTTTTCATTCAATCTCAAGTTTTGAGTTGGTGTAGTTATTAGATTTTTGCATACAGATGAAGACTATAAGTGTGATAAGAATGTGTGGAAAATAAACTTCTCAACCATACTCATTATATCATCTAGACAATTCAAGTAGTTCTACATTTTAAAATCTAAAGAAAATTTCACTATGAATAAATGCCACACAATTCATGCATCAGACAGGATTTAAAACCCTATCCACCCAGGGTCCCAATCCCCTAAAGGTATTGCTATGGCTATTGCTATTGCTTCTGATTTCATTTTTTTATTTCTGACGGCCAAAGTTTTCTAATACCTCACTCTCTTTTTCTTTAATATTGTCATAACCAGTGCAAAAGAAAGAAAAAGAGAGTGACACATTCAAAAACCTTCCGTGGTCAGAAATCACACTAATATTATAAAGGCGGAAGTTTGTGAGTGTGTATGTTTGTTACTTCTTCACGTCTAAACGGCGAGAGCGATTTTAATAAAATTTGGTATGGAGTTAGCTGACACCCTGGATTAACACATAGGCTACGTTGTACGGCGGGAAATTCTCCCTAATAAGCAGCGGGTAAACCGCGGGACTCAGCTAGTAACAAAATAAAATCGTAAGCAAAAACGATAGCCATTGCACTCCTGTTAGGTGATTGGAATCCTGCCCCGTAGCATAAGCTCCGCGATTTGCATTATATCATTTTTATCGCGTCTGACTGTCAATCTTCATAGTAATTTAACAATTGAGCATGATAAAGAAGTGTTACATATCCTATCGTAGTACTCATGCTAGAGGGGCTGATAAGATTAGCCTGATAAGTGTAGCTTTGAATCCTATCCGATGCCCAGGCAGTGCGGACTTTTTTTCTAGTAAATTTTCTTTAGATTTGCTATTCACATAATTGATAAACAGGAGGTCTGTTTATCAGTACCAACCTAGCTCCTGCTTGGTGACGGACCAACTCCAATTATTGAAGCCCCACTGTGAATGGCCGTAATTAATGAGCTGTTGTCTCCGTTGCTGTTGCTCCAAATCATCATCACAGTGCAAATCCGAGGTAGATAGGTTCCCATTCTCTGGCTATAACAATATATTTTAATGATTAGTGAATTTTTGAAGTAAAAGTATAAACTTATGTAGGTAGGTAGGTGATGTAAACAAATACCCTACATAAACTGTTTTATTTTTAGAACTAGTTTGATTTTAGTATTAACACACAGTTTACTATAAACAGGATATAAAGCACTGTCAATGTACGTAAATAAATAAAATGAATAGATTTGGAAGGCACCATAAAGTTCCGGTTTAATTTGGCTGCGGTACTTAGACACATGTAAAATGTGATCTCCGCACAGCATGCGTAATTTTCATGTATGTATATTCATAAAAGGCAAATGTAATTAAACAAATAGATCAAAATTGGGTTCGATTATTACCGGTTTGATGGCACAATTCACGACAGGAAATCCTGGTTTCCTCTGCATCTTTACTAGGCTGTATCTCTGTTTCTTACGCAGTTAAACATTTCATAACATGCAGACAAGTTTTCCGCGGATTACCCAATTACGTTTATGGGCGAGTGAACATTAACTTCACAGTAAAATAATCAGAAAAAGGCAGTTTGCATTTTTTTGGAAACGAGCAAATATTGACATTTTTTTTTTAAGCACTGTGCAGACTGTGCGGGATTTGCGACGAGATTCTCGTGCGATTCGCTCGCTCGCGCTTTATGCAAACTGAGGCGAATCCCGCGCGGGACTCGAACTTTTTTATAATCATGACCATGGTTGACTACCTTACAGACAATGAACTTATATTCTGTCTGGAATGCTTACGAAACAATATTAGATTTCAAAAAATGTACTCTAACCAGAATTATAGTACATTTTTGTTTATAACTTCATAAGAGGGAAAAATTTTCCGAGCAGGACAACGACGAAAGTGGAGTTTGTCCCTTTCTTGCAATTGTCAGTGTTAATAAAAATAATCAAATAGTAGTTTTCATATTATCCCGATCATCATTAATAAGAACTAGAACATACACTTCTTTGAAAGTTAAATTACAATATATGTTTTGATTGCAGTCAATTTATTGATATCAATTATCAATGCAACCAAAAATTAGTTTATTTTTATATAAACGAATAACATGCGTAAGTCTGTGAACACATCTAGTGTTTTTTTTAAAACGAAAGTCATTAGTAGTATTCCCTTAATGAATACGATTCAACTAAGAATAGGATCGACTGGGCGCCATTTTGTGATGTCAAAGCTGTCAATTGAAACAAAATAGGTAGAGTGAACAATAAAAGTTTTTTTCGACAAAACTTATTTACTAAGAATAAGTGAGAAAAAAATATCTGGTTTTTTTTAAATAAAACTTATTTACTAAGATTAAGTGAAAAAAAACATCAGATTTTATTAATAAAATTTATTTACTAAGATTGAGAAAAAATAAACACCGATTTTTAATATTATCTCTGTGTGAGTAAAAATATTAATCGGAATCTAGCTCTTCAATTCCGCTCAGCTCTGCATAACTACCGGAGTTGTCATCGTTGTCATGTTTGTTTACAAATGTTTGGTTTTTTTATTCTAGAATTAGCTGAGTGCTAAAAAAGAGTTCCAAGATTTTTTGCAAACCGTACTTTTCAAGCGTCATTTGACAGATTGAGGTCATTGGCTTTCCTATTCTTATTTGAATCGCATTATACTTATATTACTCTTTGGTAGTAACTTGCATTTATGTATGAGAACACTTGCGATGCTTCCAATAAACAATATGGCTCATATTCTTCCGGATTAAAGTCCTATTAATGCTAACTACAAATTATTTTGATCAAATTCTTGTGATTTGCTGGTGCAAAATGATATTGTTTTTTATGCACAATAGTGTAAAAGTGAGGCGTATGCTGGGTGTGGAATTTCAATATTAAGTACGTTTTTTACTTCTGTTTCAAATTACATGTGTAGGGTGACAAAACATTTTCGATTCTCTTAAGGAAAGTATATGTCATCGTCATCATCAGCGTATTAATGTCCACTCGTGCGAAACAGTCATTCCCTATGGATAAAATCCACCAAGCGGGCCAAGTGCGGATTTGTGGGTGCTAACGACTGCAGTTGCAGCCGGGACCAACGGCTAAGCGTGCCTTCCAAAGCACGGAAGAACTCGAGTAAGTATGAATAATTTTGGTCACCCATCTAATAACCGACCATTTTACTGAAAGTTGCTTAATTTCCACGATCCATGCTATAAGCTAGCTTCACACTATAAGTAACTTAGACCGAAAAAAAAGTATAATGATAGACAATTTTAAAGCAGCGCTATCTATGAGATTTCAAAAACATCAAGTCGAATAATGTGTAAGCAATTTTTGGATATAAATAATTTAAATTTGATCATGTGGACGAGGTCAATAGTTGTTTTTAAAAGTCATAGATGTACTAATGTATCTTTAGAAATAAACCCCCTTTTGGGGTGAAAAAGTATGTGCAAATAACTAACTCCACGCGTACGAAATCGCAGGCGGCCGCGGACTTAATTATTCTTTAAATACGTTCATAGTGGATATTGTGAAATAAAATTGGTGTAATTTTGGGTTACAATCGTCTGCGCAACAGAAGAATTAACGGAATCTTTGAAATATACGCTATATCGGTCAAGTGAACGTGAGAACTTTATTGTTGTATTGACTACCTTACAGAAGCTTATGGAGAAAGCTGACTCGATATATTTTGGGCCAATCACTCCAAGAAACATTAGAATGTATCTCACCCACATGTTATGTAAAAAAAGGAATATTAATATAAAAATGATACGATGGCTGCATGGCCTTGCCTTTGTCTTTCCCAATAGGGAAGAATAGAACAAAAAAAACTTAAGAAACTCCTTTGATGTCTGTTTGGCTGTCAATGTCAAATAACTAACTCCACGCGTACGAAATCGCAGGCGGCCGCGGACTTAATTATTCTTTAAATACGTTCATAGTGGATATTGTGAAATAAAATTGGTGTAATTTTGGGTTACAATCGTCTGCGCAACAGAAGAATTAACGGAATCTTTGAAATATACGCTATATCGGTCAAGTGAACGTGAGAACTTTATTGTTGTATTGACTACCTTACAGAAGCTTATGGAGAAAGCTGACTCGATATATTTTGGGCCAATCACTCCAAGAAACATTAGAATGTATCTCACCCACATGTTATGTAAAAAAAGGAATATTAATATAAAAATGATACGATGGCTGCATGGCCTTGCCTTTGTCTTTCCCAATAGGGAAGAATAGAACAAAAAAAACTTAAGAAACTCCTTTGATGTCTGTTTGGCTGTCAATGTCAAATTGTCAATGGTTTTCGCCGGTCTTAGTCCGGTGCAGGCGTTTCTTTCGTCTTGTAATATTGTGAAAAATTTAAAGCATTTAAATAGATACCTAGTTATTAAAATGGCTGAGTATATGGATATAGATGGAAGTGTTTTAGAAGGGGTATGCAATTTCTTAATATTTGCTTCTTTATGAACATTGCTAGTTTACTACAACTTCTACTTTTCATTTTATGTTTAGGGAGGGCAAATTCTTCGAATATCCATATCCTTGAGTGCTATTCTGGGTATACCAGTACGTGTCTTCAATATAAGAGTCGGCCGGAGTAAGCCAGGACTCGCTGCACAACATTTAAAAGGTAACCAAATTTAAAAACCAAAAAAAAGGTAAATAAATTATCATGAGTTCCCAGTGTGCGCCCCTTAGAGAAGGACAGTTTTTACATGGATTATAATTTTTTTCATTCCATTTTTTATAAAAATACATATTTTTTAATTTTGAAAAACTGCCAAATTAGTCGTCTCCAGATCAAGAGATTCATCCAATTATTCGTTAAATCATTGCTTAAATCAAAACTTTTTCCATAGTACAAGCCTCAAGCAATAACTTATTTATGATATAAAGGCCTTTGTTAAATGAAACTACCTACAGATGTTGCTTATTCTAGACTTCCAGGGATCGTTGGGGACCTTGGGAGAAATAACAGTTCATTGTTATTGTTAAACAGCTTACCATTGATGTTAGGAATTTATTGTAAACAATGGGTTCTTGGTTTTTAAAAAGTACAAGGAAGTACAAGCGTTTTTGTGTTTTTCCAGCTAACTATGTCACACAGTAAATCTTATTTTTATTGGTAGGTGAATTTACACAAATCAAGTGTATTTTTTGTGAAGAAAAGGTAAAATAAAGTTCACACATTATGGCTTGGCAACAAGCATTATCTTCTCAAGAAATTCTGGGTATATTAGAAGTGGAAGAGGCTAGGCTTTTCTTGTGGTATTATGGTAGCAATACACATAAAATAGACTCTTCAATATCCATTTAATAGAAGTATTCCAAAGACCACATAAGTAATTCTGTGTGTATTTTTTTTAAGTTATCATTATAATTACTCTGTGCATATATTATAAAAAACACCAAATACCTACTTCAACTCTGTAATAAAATTCAACCCTGCAAATCAAAGACTTATGAAAAAATTATAAATTATTAAATTCAACTGTGTTCAATTTCAGGCCTGCAGTTGGTTGCAGAAATGTGCCAAGGCAAATTGAAAGGTGCAAGCATTGGTTCTACAGAAATTCAGTTTGCACCGGGCAAGATAAGAGGGGGACATTACATAGCAGACACTCATACTGCTGGGTAAGGCTCTTTGCTGCACATTACATTGATTATGTGAACCTGAATAATACCTAAAGATTCATACTTTAACTTCCAAAAAAGGATTTTAGTACTTGTATTAGATATGTTTAAATGTTATCTTTAAAAGAACACATCAGATTAAGCTACTGGTTAGATTTCTGATTGCATTTGACTTTTTCCTTTCTACCTCAGTAAGTACTTATAGAAGTACTGGACTTGTAGAAGACTTGTGATAGTCTTTGTCGATATATCAATATTATAAAAGCGAAAGTTTGTGTTTGTTACTTCTTCACGTCTAAACGGCTGGAGCGATTTCAATAAATTTCGGTATGGAGTTAGCCAACATCCTGGATTATCACATAGGCCACTTTTTACTGCGGCAAAATATCCCTATTAAAACGCGCGTAATATCGCGGGGCACAGCTAGTAATATATAATTCTCAATTTTGATATATTGTACATAGTCTTTTTAAAGAAGATATTTTCTTAGATGAACATTTATAAATACTTAAATAATAGAACTTAATAAAGGAAAAATAAACTTAACACTCATTTGTTCCACCAGTTCGATCAGTCTGCTACTTCAGATAGCACTGCCATGTGCCTTGCTGGCAGACGGGCCGGTGACTCTAGACCTGAAGGGCGGCACCAATGCAGAAATGGCCCCACAGATAGATTATATGGTGACAGTACTGAAGCCGCTACTGAAGAAGTTCCATGCAGACTTCCGACTCAACATCAGGAGGAGAGGGTATGTACATTATAACCAGTATACACTCATTACCAGTTTAGCTTTTTTTCATCATTATCGCCCTCTTCGCTGTAATTCAAACCAGCACAGCCAAAAAAGATGTGGGTTTCTTTTTAACCTTATTCATGCATTTACGAACCTACAATACAAAAAATGGAGTCATACTGATATCTGCGCCTCTGATTCCGATGAGCTAGAATTAGTAACGAGTGATGTCAGCGCAACATTAAAAACGGCAGCTCTTCTTTGTATTTGCTTAAACTTTGCAGAGCGAATGGTCCTGAATTTACTTGTTGTCTCCTTTTTATACCTTCATGTCTTCGTTTGTGCAGGTATTTCCCCAAGGGCGGTGGTCACGTGACAGTAGAGGTTTCCCCAGTACGCAGCCTCAGGGGCGTCAGTATAGTGGAGCGCGGGGATATCACCGCCATACGGGGGTCCAGCTTCGTGGCCGGCATATTGCCTGTCAAGGTAAGTAAACGATATGGAAGATGTCCACAGTACGCAGCTTTAAAGGCATCAGTACGGCGACATTACCACCATAGGGGGGTCCAGATTCGTGGCCGGCATATTGCCTCTCAAGGTTAGTTTACGATATGGAAGATGTCTACAGTACGCAACTTTAAAGGCGTCAGTACGGGAACATTTATCATCGCCATATGAGGGTTAGCTTCGTGGCCGGCATATCGTCTCTCAACGTTAGTAATCGATATGTAAGATATCTCCAGCACGCAGCCTTGAAGGCATCCGTACGGGAACATTATCATCGCCATATGAGTTACAGCTTCGTGGCTGGCATATTTCCTCTTAAGGTTAGTAAACTATATAGAAGATGTCTCCAGTACCCGTAACGTAACTTAAAGGCGTGTGTACGGGGACATTATCATCGCCATACGGGGTCCAGCTTCGTGGCTGGCATATTGCCTCTCAAGGTTAGTAAACTATATGGAAGATCTAACTATATGGTTAGTAAACTATATGGATACGCAGCCTTAAAGGTGTCAGTACGGGGACATCACCGCCATATGGGGTCCAGCTTCGTGGCCGGCATATTTGGATCGTAAACGATGTGGAAAACCTCAAATTTCATTCAGTTTAGGCTGTTAGAAGCTCTTAAACTACGTCATAGGTTCGCAAATCTATCACGGGTTGGGTTACCATTACAATTTTTATGATTCTAACAAAGGCCGCACTAGAAAACGTGAAGTAGATTTTAAGATGGATTAAAGTTAGTTTTGTCTCTTTCTTCACGATTATATTGGAATAAGACAGCATGTGAGTTTTAATGGCATTCAATTTGTTTGGCAAGAAAGGATGGCCACAGTCAAAGTTCTGTATCCTAGTATTAGAGACATTAATAGGCAAAATAATGACGACGAATGAATCTATCTATTTAAAACTTGGCATATGTTGCCTCATTACAAAAGTACACACAAGACACGACAAAAACCCCAAAATAGGCAATTTTCACAATATGAAAAATAAATTACAAAATGGTATCTGTTTTAATATGAATATTAGCTGCGATATAACCATTCTGAAGGAACAAATAATTAATAACTTTCCTAAAAAAAAGAAACTATTCTATGATCACTTGACCGAAAACGCCTAGATTGGTGAAGACTAAATTGATACCAGACGCTAGTAAACTTCCGGTCATAGTGACGTTACATTGTATAGTTTGAAGTTTTAACAACAATCGTGTGACGTTACATACCAGTGAGACGCCACTATGTCTAGAGAAACGTTTTCGCGGCAACTTGTAAATGGAATTTTTTGATTTAGTGGTTTTTTAACTGAAATACACAATAGCATGATAAATATCCGCTTTTAATATACTCTATAAACATTAATAACTTTTCAATAACTGTAGCGGACGAGGCTTCCTGGAATAATTAACGTAGAACTCGAAATAAATAATATTAATTCGCTGTTTAACAATCATATTTGAATAAAACAGTAAAAGTAAAATTAATAGTTCCGCGCCGAAAATTGAATAGAAAAAAAAGTTAACCGCCGCGAATCCGACGAATTTGTCTCTGCAGAACATTTGTAGTCTTAGCGTAAACAATACCCTATCGGCAACGAAGGCTAATGTGAAAAAAAAATTAATTTGTATTTTTTTATAATGATTTTCATTCTCCATCAGCTAGCCCAAGAGATGGCTGAAGGTGCGAAGGAGGAGTTGAAACAATTCCACCACAACGTGGACATCCGATGCTACAAGGAGGACAGGACTGTCGCTCCCGACAATTGCAGCGGCATCCTGTGAGTAATAACACTAACTAACCGTACTATATCGAACAAGGGATCTCCCATGTAATTGTATTGAAATTATTAATGTAAAATTTAATATTTGGATTCAATTTTTACTGAACACTAGAGGCAGCCCGCGAATTTGTCCACTTTAACTATAGAGCAACACGGCACACTTTAATAAACTACTTAAGGTGACTAAATTTCATCCAAATTCATTCAGGCATCACATCGAAATAGCGCATGCGCGATTAGAGAGAGAAAGCTAGCGGTCTCTCATCTTCGTTCTCTTTCTATTCAAGGGACACTTCCACTTGTGGTAGAGTCTATATCTGCCCTACTCTATTCTTATACCTCTATGGTTCCAAACCTACGCTCCGAGTACGACTTTTCACTCTGACGTATCAATTTTGACATAAAATGTACGAAAATTTAGTCCAATTTGACATTCGCTGTGCATTTTGTTGCGAGTAGAGATACATGTTCCAGAAACAAAGTTTTGTGTATGTGTTTATGTCATGTCGATTGTTTTCAAAACTTTTGCTGGAGACCCGGCTTTAGAGAGTAATGTTTCCGTATAATGGTTAAAGTTTAGAAATAAGCTTCCTCGTTAGGGGGTTGCGGAGGGGGGGGGGGTTAGCCCTAAGACCAACAATCAGTCCGGGGCGCGCGCCAAGGTCAGTAAAAAGGGTCGAAAACACAAAGGGAAGGAACGGAATGAACACATCTCATGTTGATTACTTTTGCGTATCCCTTTACTTTTTTTTTAGTTCTCCCTTTCCAGGGAAGGCATAGCGAACAATGCCCATACAGCCTCATGTTTACTTTTATTTCTCAGTACATTCGTTTCGTTTCACTCAAAAATGAAAAAATATAATAAAATACGTAGGTACCTCTCCGGCAACTAAAATCGATACCAGGAGTTTTAGTAAAGCCCGCTGAGTCCCCACACGGCGTCAGTTTTCCCAGAACGAGGAAGCTTTTTTCTAAACCCAACCCCGTATAATTTCTGATTGGTTGGCTGGTGGTGGTATTCCCTTAGTGTGTGGGCGGAGACTGATCGCGACTGCGTGTTGTGCGCCGACGAATTGGGGAAACGCGGACGGGACCCGCGACACTTGGGCCGGAGCGCCGGCGCCACGTTGGCTGCAACACTCGCCTGCAAGGCTGCACTCGACACGCATGCGCAGGTATCTCTTATCTATTAGACAAGTCCGTCCTTCCGTCCGTCTGCCTGTGGTGCTGTTTCAGCGGCCAAACCGTAAGAGATAGATAAAGAGTCGTTTTCTCTTCTCTTCAGCTTTTTGACATAGAGCCTTAATCAATTGTTTCAATAAACTAATTTCATATCCAACGGAGACATTAAAATAATTAAGGGTATTTAATGAATATGTCATAATTATTTTTCAATTAGACGACCTCCGTGGCCGAGTGGTTTGTACGCCGGGTTTCATGGTGTCGCCGACTCAAGAGGTCCCGGGTTCGAATCCCGGTGGGGGCAGATGTTTTTGTGATGAATACGAGCATTTGTACTCCAGTCATTGATGTTTCATTATGTATTTCTATAAAAAAACTTATATATGTACAGTATATGTATTCTATCCGTTACCCTAGTATCCCATAACACAAGCCTTATAGTGCTTACTTTGGGGCTAGGCTAATTGGTGTGAGTGTTGGAAATATTTATTATGATAATTTTATTATAATCATGTACCTTCGAGGATAAACAACCTCTTATACAAACATTAACCCCACTGGGAATCGCACGAAAAATATATACAGTACAATCCGTTTATTATGACTTCGAAGGGATTCGACAAACACGTCATACTAAGCGGACGTCATACAAAGCATTTTTGTGAAAAAAGATTGTGAGATGAGTTTGATTCTCCATTTTCTAATCAGCATATTATTGCACCTTTTTCCTCAGTCGTAAATGCTTTACGACGTTGAGATGACATTTTTTTACATAGCATATCACTAAAAACAATGCTTGATATTCAATTTGAATCAACGAACATTACCGTAGGTGTAAAGAACCATGTCGGTCACTATAAACGCACAAAATTGATTAAAAATGGGTCATAATAAGCGACATGTCACTGTAAGCGAAGTCATTATATCCGACATTGTTACAGTGAATTTTATATGAAAACCAAACTTCGTTGTGTAATTACGTCATAATAGGCGGTTGGTCAATATAGGCCGAGTCATAATAAACGGATTCTACTGTAGATACATACCACTCACATGTGTAGGCGACACCTTGAAAACCGGCGTACATACCACTCACATCAAGAAACTTGTTTACAATTTCCCTTTAAATATAGATTTTCGTTTACAGGACCAGGTGATTGTGTATATGGCTTTAGCGGAAGGCAAGTCGTCCGTGAGTGTGGGTGACATCACGCTTCATACTAAAACAGCCATGCACATAGTGGAACTGATAGCCAAGGTATCTCTTATCTATTAGACAAGTCCGTCCGTCTGTCTGTGGTGCTGTTTCAGCGGCCAAACCGTAAGAGATAGATAAAGAGAATATTTAAGTTATAAGTTAAGAATAGTCTGATAAGACTACAAACCGGATTAGCACTTCCGGTTTTCGAGAAATCACAAATTTCAAACGAAACCACACAAAATCTCCGAAGTTCTCAATTAATTAAATACTTTTTTTTTTTAAATCAGGTTTTGGTGAACATTTGGTTCACTGGTTTGCTAGTGTATATAATAATCACCCTATATCTAATGAAATAAATACATGAAAATATAATGCCTGTTTCTCTGTCGCGTCATATTTTGATTTGAGAACGACTACAGACTTCATCCGTATTGAATACAGAAATACAGAACAACCAATTTGTATGAGGGGTCGCGGAAAGACCCGCTCTGTCACCCATAATGCCATAATCGCTTGCGGTAGCAGCAAAGGTTTTATAGTTATAATTTTTTTTTAATATTTTTAAAGCATGTAACTGCTTGATATTTAAATCTAAAGAAAATATAACTAGAAAAAATTCCGCGCGGTCAAGGCAGCAGACGGGACTTGAACCCGCACCCTTCGCAATCCGGGCGAATGCACTGACCAATTATGCTACCGCGGCCCTCACGGACCGCGTCGAAATTCTTCTAGTCATTCTTAAGCTGCAAGGCAGTGCCATCTCTTCGCATTATAGGTAACCCACAATGTCAAATGAATACTTTTACAAGTATTAAACATTTGAAAGTCCCGTCTGCTGCCTGGTCCGCCTGGATTTTTTTCTAGTTATATTTTCTTTAGATTTAAACATCAAGGCAGTTACATTACATGCTTAAAAAAATAAAAATTATAAATACTTTTTATGTTATATTACTGAATTTTTAATGCTTAACACATAATATCAAAAAGTCATGTTTGTACAAGATCAGTACCAAAATGGTTGTTCTCCTTTTCCAGTACTTTGTAGAAGGTTCTAAAAATCATTTTTTTAAATACTTACGTAGAATTTACAAATTGACGAAGACTGAATTTACAACACTACTTGTTAGGTGGCGCTACTCAATACAATTGAGTATAATTGCTAACTTTTGATTACTAATCGCTAACCACTTGCGCCATCGAGGAGCTCGATGCGCGTTCGGCTGCGATCGTTGAATTTAAGCAACTTTCGCAGTGGTCGGTCATTGGATGGGTGACCAAAAATCTTCTATCTCGCGTTCCTCCGTGCTTCGGAAGGCACGTTAAGCCGTTGGTCCCGGCTGCATCTGCAGTCGTTAGCACCCGCCAATCCGCACTGGGCCCGCGTGATGGGTCATGGCCCAATCTCCTTATTCCATCCATAGGGAAGGCCTGTGCCCCAGCAGTGGGGACATTAATAGGCTGATGGTGATGGTGGTGTGACTCAATACAATCGGGTATTTAGTTTTATATTTTTATTGGACAGGACAAGTGCGAGTGATTTTTTTTGTGACTGTGTAAACCATATTTTTTTCTCTTTCAGATAAAATTCAATGTCTACGAGGAGAGTGGTCAAAATATAATCGAATGCACCGGACTAGGACTCATAAATAAGAACTTACCTCCAGATTAGCGCCAGTTAATTATTTGAATCCTATATCTCCGTAACTTTTTTAATATATTTTTTATTATGTTAAATATTACGTAAGAATGAATTATATTTGTTGTAAGCTCCGTGTTTTGTTTTCTTTCATCTATCGTATCGCATTATCAGTAAAAAGTGTTTTGATGTATGATAAATATGCTGTTTGTCGCCGACTTATAACCTTTTGGGCACAATTTATACAATCGTGGTATGATTCTATTCGGAAGCGAACATTCACGACCAACAGTGAATTTTAAGTAAAAAATGTTTTTAGAATTTTACGTATAAAACGCGTTGCCGCGGCATTTGTTATTACATTTTGAACTATTTGTGTTCTTTATTGGGATCTGACAAAATTCGTGAGACACCTGGTGTTCAATTTTGGAACTAATACCGGGGTGCATCGCTCATCAAAACACATAAGTTATCATTAGTGTCATTAGTACTTTTGAGAAATTAAACAAAAAATGACGGAAGAATTAGGAATATTTAACCCTCGCAAGATTTCTAAAAAAAGAATAAAGTGTTGTGTGTATGGATGTGGAAGCAGTTTTCAAAAAAACCGTGAATTAACGTTTCATAAGTTTCCTAAAAAAAATGCGCGTTGTGTTTACATCAAAAATTATTTTGGTCAAATGGAAAAAGTGGACCAATTCACAGCATGGAAGAACGCTTTGAAGATTGACTGTAAAATAAATCCTCACATGAAAGTGTGTTCATTGCATTTTCTGAAAGACGACTATATATTACCAGGTGAGTCAAATTCGTTTTTTGAGGTTAAGCATGTGTGAAGTAGCATTTTACAAGATCTCATTATTATTCCACTAAGAAAAGAATGGGACGGCAACAACATTAAAATGAAAGAGTTTCCTTGGTTTAGTTATATATTAGTTTAGTTTGGTCTTTGACGATACCACAATTCAATAAATGTTTCGCAGCTACCAGTCGTTCACCCTCTCGAAAATTGCGATTACTGGGCGTTGAACCGGACCATTCACAAATATCATTAATTGTTAAGACTATCATTATCTACCACTAATATTGATATTTAACTATTTTACGGTATTTCATCACGGTTTGACTAGGCAAATGCACCCCCGTCGGCGCCATATTGAATAGGCCACGCCTCCATGTCAGATCCCAATAAAAGCATCGAAGGCATTCATCATCATCATCATCAACCTATTAATGTCCTCACTGCTGGGGCACAGGCCTTCCCTATGGATGGAATAGGGAGATTGGGCTATGACCCACCACGCGGGCCCCGTGCGGATTGGCTAACGACTGCAGATGCAGTCGGGACCAACGGCTTAACGTGCCTTCCGAAACACGAAGGAACTCGAGATAGAAGATTTTTGGTCACCCATCCAAAGACCGACCACTGCGAAAGTTGCTTAACTTCAACGATCGCAGCCGAACGCGCTAACCGCCTGCGCCATCGAGTTCCTCGAAGTCATTGTTTTATCTTTGTAACACAGAATATACGCAATATGGTTATTATCGAGTGCACATGCAGCGTGTTTGAATGTCCAATTGTGACTAAAGCGAATTGTGGTCATGCACCACAATTTAAGCGGTTTTGAGCCGCGAGTGCCGTATCTTCTCTTTTTGTTTTAATCTAAGGTATAAATCCATATAACAGTTGACGATAAATAAATAAACAGAAACACATTCAGAGTTCATTTATTTGAGCTCTCTTGCCTGTTATTATGACGCATTCATGTGTCAAGTAAAATTGACCTTAAATACCATTACATTAAGTATAATATACTAACGGCCGTACTAAAAGACGTCAATAAATTCCTAAGTTTCATTAAAGTTGATGCTGTCACTGCTTTGAGGTAGCAACAGAACATAGACAACACATCACTTTAACAAACGCTAAATTTAATTGACGTCCTTGAGTATGCTGTAACAGTTATAAGTACATGGTACAATGTCTATAAGGACGTCATAGACCTCACAGCGTGGGTCATATAATAAAGAAAACGAATCAATATATACGTTATATTTAACAATATATTGTTGAAAAGAATTTCGACGCATCTCAGTAATTCCCTTGTATGATACACGTATTCCAAATCAATTTATTATTTGAGACTGTCATAGAAAAGATCAATATAAAACTTTGATACCTATAAAAAGGGGCAAAATATAAAGCAATCTCTTTCTAGTTACATAAGAGTACAAAACATTTCTAAATTTGAGAACAGTGAAAAACTACAGTACGGTAACTTGTAAAAAAACACAAGACATGTTATACATTACCCATCTGTGTAATTCTCATAACAAAAAAAAGGAATAAACTTAATTAACTAACAATTATATTAAATTATATTCACTTTTCTATGAAAACGAAAAACCTATTTACAATGATTTCTGACAATAAAAAAATATCTCAACATCAGCAAATTCTTTAAAAAGAAAGCTCCCAAAAAAAATACATTAATAAAAGCATTTGGAATTCAAAAAAATAATTCTACTCGCAACGAATCGGAACCATTCGGCCAAATATATAATAATATTTAACATTTCTGTTTAATTCGTTTACTATATCTAAACATTTTTCAACATACAACCTATATTTATGTGCAATACATTGTCATTACGCTCAATTACGAAATACACCAATTGGAAAAACACTGTTTTGGAAGATATTTCGGAAGAGTTCACCAATATTCATGACGTCAGAGGATAACTGCTAAAAACTGTTTTTGGTTATTTTTTCCATTATTAAGGTCCACTTGCACCAAATTTACTAAACCTCGATTCAATTAAAACTAGATCTGTATCCTTAGCACAAATCAATATCGAATTCGTAACATTTGCGAGTCCGAAATGTCATTGTCAAATGTGTACTGATTTTTAGTCCTCGTTACATACATTGTGGCGCTGCTGTTCAAGTTTCCATACAAATTTTGACATTTAGCACTCGCAAACCATACGAATTCGATAATGTTTCGTGCTAGGGGTACAGAATCTGAAACTAGAACAATGACAAAACGTCACTGTCAATTTGACATCATTGTATGGACTAACTATAGCTTTGGTTAAATTGAGATTTAGCTAAATTGCTGCAATTGGACCTAAGTAAAGAAATGCGGAAAATTGTTATTTTTTTCTCTTTTATTACGGTAAGAAATGATCTGTGTTGCATTAAAAAAAAATGGCACCGCAGCGCCGGCCAAAAGCCACGGGCCATGGTCCCTCACCATGTCATAGAGATTAAAAAAATAAAGGCTTTTTTATTTCCCGTAACGAATGTACTTGATACGACGTAGGTTTTCGTTTGTGCTTATTCAGACTTCTTCGCCTTGGCGTCAGTGGCGGCCTCTATAATGGCTGGTTGATCTTCATAGCTGAAAAAATACGAAATTTAGGTAATGAGGAATTTCTGAGATGACGGGCACCAGGTGGCAGGACTGAATCATCTCATCCGTCAAGTCGCATATATCGTCCTGTCTATGGATAAATTTAAATGCTCGTTTTATCACTAATGACTGGCCAATATGGGAAAATACAAGGCCGCAAAATTTATATATAAAGAAATGCTCGTTCGATGAATTCGCGCCAAAATCTATATATACATAAGACCACGTCACAGTGGCGCAAACTAGTGACGTAAATTTTCTTAAACACCCACAGATTTAAGACTGCAAAATAGTTTCGATAGGAATGACTGCCGCCAAATAACATTATTCTGTTTAAGATATATAATTTTGAGAAGCTCCTTGGTTTGTATAGGTGAGCAAAAATATTTTAACCCTAACAACTCAATGCTTTGAAAGGCGTTTTAAGTTGTTGGTCTCCTCTACATCTGAAGGTGACTTCAGAACGCAGAAAGAGGTTAGAAGGGTGGTCAGAGACCGTTTGTACGGCAACCAATGTCGCCGGCTCGCCCCCGCTACACTTCCACCTAATAGATCATAGCCAATCAAAGGACGCGACATCAAACGCTGATTGGTCCGATACCAATCAGCGTCGCAGTCGAATGCAACGATGCAATCAGAACAAAGTTTTGTCAAGTTATGAGCATTTGCTCATACACAACTGTAGCGTGCCTGCCCCGCCCACAAGGCCCTTCTAACCTCTGTCTTGTGTTCTGTGACTACAGATGTGAAAAAGGTTTCAGATGTCAACATAACTTCTACATCTGAAGATGACTTCAGATGTCCGCATCATCAGAATCCGCTAATTCGATCTGGTTTTATTCTATATTTTCTATCCATAAGAAGGGCTGTGTATAAAAATTATGTTTGGTATATCAAATTTCATATAAGTTAAAAGTCAAAAAAGTTCCATAGTAAAAGGGAAGGTAGGATTGAATAATAGGGATGATGACGGGGTAAAGTAAAAATAATGTACATTTACTTTTTCTTTTGTCAAACAACCACAAAATTACAAAGGAAAAGCGCGTCAAAGTTTGCGAGCGGGGGCTAGTGACGTCACTTCGAAGTAAAAATTTTACTAAGACGATACGTCATATAACGATAAAATATACTTGTCCAATACTTTCTGATAATAATGTAACTGATAGGCGAAGGACAAAGTTAGTTATAATTATCTTTTTTTAATAATATTGCTTTTACATCCTTCCCCTTTTTTTTGTTCTTGTATATAAGATTATTTATTTATTATTATTATTATTCAACATCCCTATTCGCTACACTAAAACCTTTAACTAAAATACTCACTTGAACAGCGCATTGATATCGCCTTTCAGCAGAGCCAACGACAGGGGCGTGCCCAAACAGGCCGGAACTAAATACAGGAGCGCAGGTTGAGCATGCTTGAACATGTGCATGATGAGTATGGTCGCCAACAATCCCACGATGTACGCAGTGAAAGTCGCTCGGAAGTAGAACTCCGAATTCCGTTTGAGTGACTTGTCGAACCGCAGTAGGAGGGCAATGAAGATTCCGGGCACCACTATGTCTCCGAGGCCGAGCATGGCGAAGTTGCTAGCGTTTAATCCGTTCACGAGCAAGTCTTGAGGGAACACCACTGTTGGAAGATACGAAACGAATAAAAATTTGTGTGATTTTACGAAACCACGATGCGAGTGAACCTTCTAAAATCATTAATAAAAAAAACGACTGCTTATGACCACACGACTGAAGTGAAACTTCTTTAGCTCTATCTGTATGTACGTATATATATGTGTGTGTGATGAATATGTATATGTATGTACCTATACATATTTCATTTACTAGCTATAAGAGAAAGAGAGAAAGCTATAAAAAAATGTGCGCGCGCAATGCTTTCTCATGCTTATATTCCCCACTCAACTCCCGTTCGCCTTGCCCGAACACACTTCATAACGCGTAACGCATTCGCCAGCTTACTCCCCAAGTCAAACGTGCGTAAAGAAATTTCACTTCAAAAATCCTTTTCTCCGCTGTTCATAAGATCTGAATTTTTCAATAACATTTATAAATGTAGGGCGACATGCTTAAAGCCGGGTTTCCAGCAAAATTTTTTGGAAACATTCAACAAAAAGGAAAGAAGTTCCCGCTAGCGACCTGTCAAAAAAATTGGCTGATGAAACAATACCCTTCGACAACCGGCGCGAGGGGGATTTGTGTACGTGGAAAACGCGGGTTCGGAAAGCAAAAACATTGTTGATGTAAACTAATATATGTAGTGAAACTAAGTTTTGTGCAGATGATTTTGTTGAACGTTGATCTATTTTTGTAGTTTGTGTAAAACACTCGTTGAAGCAAACCCGGGTTAAGATAAACGGCAAAAATGTGTCGATATAATAAAATTTCACTTTAATAAATAAACATTTCTTACGCCCACCTCATTGACGTATAAGGACAAGTAGATTCCCGATCGCCAACAAAAATGCATCAATAAACGTTCGAGCGGCGTTCTACGTTAACTCATACAGATAACAATAACACATTCGTTCAAATTATGTCGTGACAGTAAGGTTCAATATCAATTGTATACGAGCGAGAATTTTCGAACACAACTGTTTGAAAATTACGCACAATAGACGAATGTGCTACCGACACTTTTTGAGCGCGATTAATAGTCGTACTCGTTACGTATATGTACATACAGGCATACATACATTATACGTACATGGCCCACCCATATCAATTAATGTATACTCAAAGTAAGCACTGTAAGGACAAAACCAAGCACATTGACATCATATTTGTATGAAGTTTTCGTACACGAGATTTGCTATACCGTTATAGCGTTTTGTAGAGTCAAAGAAATAAGGTCTATATTCTTTCGCATATAGCAATAAGTCGTAAAATTTTACGAGTTTGCATTTCGAACTGACGCATGCGTTTTGATTAAGACCAACGGACCGAAGACCATATTACAGTATGCATTAAAGGTGACTTTCAATGCGATCATCTTACGGTGCTACGTGGATCGTCCAATGAACTTTTTGGGCAGGTTTCGGGCATGATTTTGTTCGTTTTGGTGTATCTAGGGTATTTAATATCGTTGAGGTGAACACTACATTACTCACGTTTGATCGGCGCCTCGAATGACTTGGCGACGGTGACCATGACATTAGTGCCGAACACCCAGAAGATATCGTAAAGGAACAGGCCGCATAGCAGGATGCAGCCCGTCACCACGTTGTTGAGGTGCAGTAGCTCCACGCCGTTGATCGCGAACGCTATGCCGAACAGGTTGTTCGCGATCCAGTGCTGGAACAACACGTTGCCGTTATAGCGCCTCCATAGACATTAAGATTTATTTTATACACAGCAACTAGCCTAGGGTAACGGATAGATTTTTTTTTCCAACACAATGCTAGCCCCAAAGTAAGCACTGTAGGCTTGTGTTATAGGATACTAGGGTAACGGATAGAATACATTTTTTTTCAACACACACCAATTAGCCTAGCCCCAAAGTAAGCTATGTAGGCTTGTGTTATAGGATACTAGGGTAACGGATAGAATACATTTTTTTTCAACACAAAGTCTAGCCCCAAAGTAAGCACTGTAGGCTTGTGTTATGGGATACTAGGGTAACGGATAGAATACATTTTTTTCCCAACACACACCAATTAGCCTAGCCCCAAAGTAAGCACTGTAAGCTTGTGTTATGGGATACTAGGTTAACGGATAGAATACATATACTGATACATATATATTTGGAAATACATATTAAACATCCATAGACTGGAGTACAAATGCTCATATTCATCACACAAACATCAAGGCGACTGATTCAAGAGTGATTAAGGGTTTCTGCGGTTTTGTATATCTTGGGAAAGCATTTGACAGAGTTATGCGAAAGGATCTCTGGAATGTATTGCCGAGACATGGTATCGATACTGTTCTGTTGCGTGCTGTGCAAACAACTTATGAAGATTGTACAGCATACATGCGGGTGGGCGGCAGCTTGTCGCCCTGGTTTGCCTTCAATGTACTTGTATATCAAGGCAACTGTCTCCAGTACCCTTAGTACGAGTTTTACAATTACGAAAACTATGATAGTTTTCTTTAGCTCCCACTTGTACTAAGGGTACTAATTTTATTGTTTTCGTTTTAATGCAAATAAACAGTGTTTAAATTCAATCAATCATTCAATCAATAAATCATTTGCGTCTTCTTAAATTTTAAGTATATTTTGTTAGTTTTCACCAAAATGGACATCTATGTATATTCTAATATAATTTACAATTACGAAGACTATGATAGTTTTCGTGAGCTCAAACTCGTACTAAGGGTACAGATGTTAAGATCGATCGATGTGGGATTGCAAATGGGTGATCCAGTTGTTAACTGCTGCTGATGATGGCGTGGCAGTTGCAGATAATCCAAGTGATCTGGGCTTCTTTGATTTTTGACACAGTTATTGTTGCTTCAACACAAAATCAAAGTTTTAGTGACAAGAACTGTATCAAAACGCGATAGTGTTGAACTGATATTGAGAGACGATTTTTATTTTAGCTTAGCATAACGGACACCCAGGTCAAATACCTATCATTATTGATTGTTGAAAGCTAATATTTCAATATTCAATATCGAACGCAAAGAAAGTGGAATCATATTGTTAATATGAAGGTTCCTACAATCTTATCTAAACGTACCTACGCCATTGTAGTAAGTAGGTACTATCGCGAAATTTTGCGCTGTCACTTGGCGAACAAAATGCTTTGAACGGTTTTCTACAGTAGTTCGCGTCGGACGCGCCAATCCGGGCCGCCGCACAAAAGTAAGACAGAGAGCATTTTATTGAATAAATATTTATATAAATGAAGAGATTGAATAATTAATTGAATTGCATTTGTTTTAGTTGCAATTTGTCATCGTGATCGCGGCAGCGCTATACGAAAAAGTAAGACAGCGATAATTACATGTCTATGAATGAATTTTTACTACGCCGCTACCGCAAGCGATTATGGCATTATGGGTGACAGAGCGGGCCTTTCCGCGAGTGTACGTACCATAATACACACTGAAATGTACTTTTCATACTCTCTTTGTTTCAAGTAACATTCATTCATGAGTCGCTACCTCCAAACTTGTAACTTAATATGTGTTAATAGTTTATTCAAAGATTTTTGTTACATTTTTTTCTTATTTTTCATACATGGGTAAGTCGTAGTGACGGTGAAGTCCAGACGTGAAGATAGGTACAGCTAGCTAGCTTCACATGGAATATTAAAATGACCTGTTTCGAAACATCTCTGTGTGCAAGGTTAGATGTTTTGAAAGAACACCTGAAAATATTAGTCTCAAATACAATTACATAATAATTGTCATGCAAATTTTATACAGTTTAAACAAAACTATATGAAATAAATATTGAAGTATTACTTATTCCTGTATGCTCTGTTTATTGTTAAAGTTTGTTACATTTATCTTTAACTAGTGGCTGCCCGCGACTTCGTCTGCGTGGAAAATTGGTTTTCCATACAAAATTTTTCGACCTCCGTGGTTGAGTGTTATGTACGCCCACCGGGTTTCAAGCTGTCGCCTACTCGAGAGGTCCCGGGTTCGGATCCCAGTGGGGGCAGATGTTTGTGTGACGAAAACGAGCATTGTGCTCCAGTCATGTATGTTTAATATTTATTTCTAATAAATATACTTCTATGTGTAGCAGTATATGTATTCTATCCGTTACCCTAGTATCCCATAACACAAGCCGACAGTGCTTATTTTGGGACTAGGCTAAAAGGTGTATGTTGGATATATTTATTTTTACCTTTTCAACCCCTCAAAAGATCATTTCTGGGACAAACCTATCCTATGTCCTTTCCCCGGACTCAAACTATCTCTATACCAAATTTCATATAAAACAGCTCAGTGATTTACACGGAACTTGTTAACAGATAAACAGGCGAACACACAATACATTCGCATTTATAAACCAAACTTTTCGAATCATTGTTTAAAAGTGACAAAGCTGGAAAATATAACTCACCTTCTTCAGCAAGTACCAGGCGCCGAGACAGAGCGAGATGAGGAGACAGATGACGTCGTACGAGGTGAACTTGTAGTTGATGATGTCGGAGCGGGAGCCTCCGTCGCCGGCGCGCGTGAAGTGAATGTGGTACGACACGTTGGGCACCGACGCCGGTACCACGAACGAAATTATGGGGCTGTGGACGGACAATAGGTTTGTGTACGCTTCTACAACAAAGTCCCTAGCAATATCCAAAAATTAAGTGTCAATAAATATAAAACTACCATTAATAAAGCCTATTATTATAAAGTGTAAACAGCTAACGAACGCCTTTTTTTTTAACTAGTGGTAAGGAAAAAAAATTGACCGATTCAAAAGAGTTGTATTGTGCATTCAATTTGAATAAAGATTTTTTGACTTTTGACTTTTTTTTGATTGAACCCGTATGATACCTGTCCGCCTATTCGCTAACTTTTTTGACATATACAGTGTGTGACCAAAGAGAAAATTGCATATTCATCGATGCTTTTTAGAACAAGCATAGTAGTGGCGTTGTAATAAAGCAGTAGTGGATAATTAAATAGCTCGGTGATTATCACTTCCATATCTCAAAAACAGTTAGCGAAGTATTGATTGCCCAGTGGGCCTACTGGGAAAAGTGGAAATTGTCTGGTAAAATTTAATTTTTGTTAAGTGGAGTTTTTCTGAAAAAAAATCTCTTCGCTATTTAAGCCACAGGTGCTGTGTTATCGGTTGGTAATATCGTATGAGTTATTGCGATATTTCGTCATACTTCTATTGCGTCGTTATTATCGCAGCATCGTAGCCGTTATCATACATAATGTAGGTACTAAAACAGATATCGCAAAAATGTAACCGATATTATCGACCTATAATAACTCACTAAGTTCGAAGACGCAGTATTAAAAATCAGACATCTAAAATGGTGGTGGGCTGGTCACATAATAAGAGAAATAAGGGCGAAATGGACAATGGAAGATCACAGAATGGATAAGGTTCCATACTAAAATAAAATGCGGAGGACCACTCAAAAGGTAGCAGGCACCGTATGGCCTAGAGTGACTAGACAGATCAGAGTGGAAGAAGCTGGAGGAGGCCTATGTGTCAGCAGCACTGATCAATGATGTATATTAGCTTTTAATTTAAAATGTTATATATATCTGCAATAATGGCTTTTGAATTTTAATTAAATGACGCGCCTATGGATGGGAGACCCAAATTGACTGTAAAAACAAAATAATTGCAAACAGTTAGTGGCAGTGTAGTTAATGCAAATATGATCACTCTACTAAAATGCATTAGCAGTTATTTAGTTAACAACTGTTGTAGCTGATACAACTGGTGATCTGTTATTATAACTTCCGGAATCCGGAATGAAAACCAAAAAGAAAATTCACATAAAATATGTTTTATAGTTGTATGGTGTAAATATGAAGAAAATAATTTATAACATAATTGATTTTGTAATGTTTCTTTAAACTTGAGAAGTTGTTTCATTGATTTGCTTCATCAACATTGGTTTACATTTAATTTTAATACTAAATATATTTTAATTGCTTATCATATTTGACAAAGGTAGAAAAAAAATGTGAATGACAACTATTTTTAATAGAATATTATAGCAGTAGCAATTTAAAGAAATTTCAAAATAAAAATGTGAACACAAAATAAAGTTAATAGAGAGAATATTATTACTTATTTTTTCATGTTTGTTTCTTAGGTTTTCACGCACACCACTCATTAAAGAAAACATGCTTAAACAGGTTCAAATGCATGTTTTTATGACTTTTTTAACGTTTTGCATCCATTTCAAGCCAGCATTTGACTTGGCTATTTGTGTTTGCTTTAAGTAAACTTGACATCAGTCTGTCATTTTCAATTCTTATAAAGTATGATAAGGACAGACTGCTGTCAAGTTTACATATAGCCAAATGAAGTGCTGGAATTAGGCTAATAATTCTGACGATGCAGCCTGAAAAGGATGCGCAACATCAAAAATATAATAAAAAGAAGCATTTTCAACTGTTTAAGCGAGTTTTTTTTTAATGAGTTGTGAAGGCTCATAATTCTGACGATGCAGCCTCAAAAGGATGCAAACCGTCAAAAAAGTTCTAAAAAGATGTATTGTGAACCCGTTTAAATGTGTTTCTTTTATTCTTTTTTATTAGATCAGAGCAGAAAACTTTCAAATAGAGAGCTAAATGGTTTTTTGCAAGATTGTATTGAATATTAATAGTACCACAAACAGACCAAGTTCATTGTTGTCTTGACTGGGAATCCCCAGCTCCCAGAGATTGTGGCACTTGAAAATAAATCTTAGAGATCTCAGTAGAGACAACTTAACCTTTGAACTTTAGGTGTGGGAAGAGTACCTACTCACAATGTTATTTTTATACAGTTTTACATAACTTAGATTGTAACTCTGTGTAAACTATTTTTTACAGTTTTATAAAACTGTTAAAAAGTAAATAACATTTAAAAAAAAATATTTATAAATATAGTTTACTATGCATTACAAGGAAAAAAATTTCTTTGGTTATTGGAATAATTTAATTTTTTCCAACAAATATTTCTATTTACTATGATTAATATAATTTATTGTGGAAATATCCTTTTTTTTTTTTTAAACAAAATGCAAAGACACATGTACAACAGTAGTTGTGGATGCCTATGAATAGGGAATATGCATGATTTTCTTTAAATATTTTTATTTAGTAGTGTTGACATTTTGAATACTGTTTAAGGGGGATGCCCTTAAACAGTATTCGAAATGTAGCCCCTTCCCATGGACAGTTTAATGTCAAAAGCTCTCATCGAGTTCCAAATAATTTGAATTTCCCACAAATTTTGCGCACTTTTATATTGTTAAATTCTTGCTCAAAAAGACATTTAATAACCAAATATTGATGGAGGGACAATTTTAAAGGGCTCAGCTTTCCATTACTTGTGGTTGAGTAGCGAGCTGAGATTTTATTCACGGAAAGTATTGGTTATTAGGAACACATACACAAAATCTTTTTATATGGAAACAAATAGAATGCGAGAATTTTTTTATAGAAAATTAATATTTGTGTAAGTTAAAGTCAGTTTATATGCATATTCCCTTTTATAAACTTTAATAATTAATAAATATTACCTGAGAAGATGACTGAGCGCCAGCACCCCAAGGAAGAAGAAGTATACTGTGAGTAGAAGATTAATATACTCCTTTGAAAAGAACTGGAAGAAGATGTATAGAGCAAACAGCGCACATGATGCTATCAGTGGAAACATCAGAGCATCCTTGTTTGACATAGTCTCTGCACGCTCTCCAGCATCCTGCAATGTGGAGCCAATCATTATTAAGTGAACTATTATAATTGTGAATTAACATTTCACAAATCTATGCTCAATAGAGAAATCTTATGATTTATTTAAAAATTTAATATTTATTGATACATACATGGATAAAATAATATATTTAAGTATGTGTTCTTAAGTTATAGGTACTACGAATTTTATAAGTCTGTAAATAAAATATTGATAATAATTTAGAGTAATTATTTATATCAATGTCAAACATAAAAATTTCGAATGCTTTAATTAGTTCAGGTTATTTACGTACGCACTAATCGTATACAAAATATGCCACGACGTGGGACGTGTCCTTTTCGTATTGGGCCGATAATAACTTAGAATAGGACTCCATATGAATTGGTAAACTCATTTAAACATAAAGTATCTTACCTTCTGCTCTTTTAGGTATTTTACGGACCTAAATGATCCAAAAAATATTGGTAAAATAGCCATAATAACTAAACTCAAGTAAGCAATTGCGACCCCCTCAATACTATTTGTTGCTTTAGCCGTGGCATTTTGAACAGCATCGCGAACACTGTCCTCTATATTTAGAGGTATTTCTGTGGCTGAATCTGCCATTTTTTAATATTTACAACAAAATAATCACTGAGAGGGCTTTCCCTTTTACAACCTCAACTTTGACAAGAAATTGACAAGTGGCAAATAAGAATGGTAGGGTAGGGGGAGTGAGTGACGTCGTGATGTGACGTAATATAAAGCTGGTTCCCCACGAAGCGATTTTGACTGACTGTGTTTGCTTTCCAATTACAGAGCATAATGCGACTCCGTGCCGCACAATGCTGAATTATGCTGATGCTTAATTAGAACGTGAATTAGTTTTCAAATGCACCAGCAGAGTGCGCTAAGTTCAGTGTTGAAAAAAAAAGTCAATGTTTGTACCTTCATCCATACTTATATTTATTTTTTAACAGTTTGAATGAACTTTGATTATTTAAAAAAAAACTATTTAATGAAACGAAAGCTTTAATAATTTTTCAACAGTAACTAATATTTTCCCTTTCCTTTCTCTAAGTTGGTACCATTGCACGCATCACACGAAAGCATCATTTTTGAAAGTGCTCAATTGTGCGAAGCGTTGCTGTAGTTGGAACACTCAACGTTAAGCATTATGCCGCATAATGCGCAATAATGCTGTAATTGGAAAGCAACCAATGGTTGCAAAAGAAAATTAACAAGTGGTTTTTCTTTAAGTTGGCATTGATCGAAATGTTTTATTTATATGTTAACGTTAGTAATATTATTTATTGTTGAAAAATTATTAAAGCTTTCGTTTCATTAAATAGTTTTTTTTAAATAATCAAAGTTCATTTAAACTGTTAAAAAATAAATATAAGTATGGATGAAGGTACAAACATTGACTTTTTTTTTCAACACTGAACTTAGCGCACTCTGCTGGTGCATTTGAAAACTAATTCACGTTCTAATTAAGCATCAGCATAATTCAGCATTGTGCGGCACGGAGTCGCATTATGCTCTGTAATTGGAAAGCAACCAACATTTATTTCGCAGCAGACGTGGAAATCCTGGTGTCCACCGTTATTGTTTTCCTTGTTCTTAATGATTATTTTATAAGGGTTGTTTTTCAATTACAGAGCATAATGCGACCAAAGTACTCTTGAATGCGACTCAGTGGCGCACAATGCCGAATTATACTGATGCATAATTGGAACGTGAATCAGTTTTCAAATGCACCAGCAGAGTGCGCTAAGTTCAGTGTTGATAAAAAAGTCAATGTACCTTCATCCATACTTTTATTTATTTTTTTAACAGTTTGAATGAACTTTGATTATTTAAAAAAAACTATTTCTTGAAACGGAAGCTTTAATATTTTTTCATCAATAAATAATATTACTTACGTTAAGATATAAATAAAACATTTCGATCAATGCCAACTTAAAGAAAAAACACTTGTTAATTTTCTGTCACTGAGTTGGTACGATTGCACACATCACACGAAAGCATTACTTTTGAGAGTGCTCGATTGTGCGAAGCGTTGCTGTAGTTGAAACACTCAACGTTAAGCATAATGCCGCATAATGCGCTATAATGCTGTAATTGGAAAACTACCACGGCGTCGAATGTTGCTGCTTGCTAGCGTGCTAAAAACCAGTGAAAATTAAAAACTGTATTTATGCTATTATTTATGTCAATGTTGGTAGGAATTCATATATGTCAAATATTGTATTGTCTATGGCGTAAATATTCAGCTGTCAGATGTCACTGTTAGATTGAGAAATAAAATCGAACGTAGGAGACTGGTGGAAGTTTTAGCAGAATAAGATGTTTATTTAATTATTTCAGTTATGTAGATATTTCTTGGTTGTGTGCTACTTATTTGAGTATCTCCGTTTCAAAAAACTAAAATGGAAGTGACTAACGGCGCAGAAGAGGGATTTGTTAGAGAGTGGACTCCTTGCACGCATATTTTGAACTTGATTCCTCCTCGTATACAGAGTGGATTATTTTCCAACGAACTGTGTTTAACTTGTGTGGATGCTGTTAGTGACTATATTGCTCTCGGGACTAACGTAGGGCTGGTGTACTGGTACGACAGAAAAAAAGGAAATATTCAAAGGTTAAGATGCGAGGTAAGACGAATAACCGCGTAACTTAGTTACTCAGATTATGATTGCTTTACTTTCATTAACCTTGAACCACTTTCTCTTAAATTGTGAATACGTATATAAGCAAGGATTGGTTAATACTTTCGCTTTTCAAATAGGTATGTTAATTTCAACATCACCACTAAGCAACTGTGTTTAATGACAGTCAAGATAAGAATGTTTTCCTTCACATCTGTTTGTTAATGCGTTAATGATTCTTTAGTCCTCTTTATCACTCAATAAATATCATAACTTAGATATCAGTGTGGCAAGTGGGTATTATCAATAAAATTCTTATATGGCCTATGAACTTGTAGTAAAAAAATGTTAGGTATTAAGAAACATTTTTTAATGATGTCAAAATTAATATTTCGCCTCACTTTGCATTGGTAAACTGTAAATGATTCTCTGGTAACGGTAACAATGGTTTGCCACCCCCTTGTAACTAATTATTTCTTGGAACATTGTTTTGTTACTGTAAAATATAGAAATTTACTAACTGCATGGAATAGATAGCAACTGCATTTTATTTTGGTCCTGGTATAGGAGCCAACTTTTAGCTATCAATATTATTCATTTACACTTTAATAAAAAAAAAATTTAAACCCAAATTCAATATCTTTTAGAAGAAAAGGATCCTGATAAATCCTATTTATATTAAGATTTATTAAATTACACAACACATTAATTGAATCCTTTATTGCCCGTGTGATAAGAATTGACAAGAAATGTTTATAATGACACACATTAATAGTTGATAATATTGAAACTGCCACTTTGATTGATTAATTATTATTATCAGGAAAACACATTGCTCCTTGTTGCTGCTTTTCCTGTTTTTCTATTATTTGCAGCAATAAAATACAATAAGACAATAATAAATTGTTGTTTCTGAACAAGTTATAATAATTCAATGCATAAGTAGCAGACAAAACATCTGGTACATTGCCAAGATCTCCATTTAGCTTAAGTATAAATATTTTTGTTTTTGTCAGTAACAATGGTATATATTTTGAATAATATCTAACCCTTCATTGGCTCAAATGGAATTAAAAAACCTTTACCTTAATGTAAATTTTTGCAATTGTATTTTTGAATGGGCAGTAGCTCCATAATACACCTTAATTTGTACCTTTGTACACCTAATTTTGTACCTTTGTGTACATGTACCAGATTGTATAAGTGGAGTTAAATCATTACTCTGGGGAATCCCAGAGAATTTAATGTATCTCCACTTGCTAAAGTTTAGATATATGCCTGTGATTTATTTTGTATTTAGTCATATATTCATTGTATTTTATCTGTCAAGTTAAATTCAATTCTCTTAAATGTTCTTAAATACTGAAAATTATAAATAATTTCATTTTCATTTTTTGGTAACTTTTCCAATGTTCTAATAATTTCTAAAAATAAGTACAAATATTGAATTTTTTATAATTAGGAGGCATGCTGAGGCACAAGTTTAGGTTGCGTTAGTTGTTGTTATGTTTATTTTTACTCAATTTCCTATGAGCTCAGACTCTGATTAATATTACGTTCTCATTGGGCCAATTAACATGATACCTAAAACAAATTTGACAGTAGTTATATCGTTATCATGCTCCTATAGAGAATGATAAGGAGACTACTATTTAATTTAGTTTTAAATTTTGAGAATCAAACCAGAATTAGGTCTATTGGGGTTAATAAGGAATGATTATCTTAACCTAACAATAAATTTGACAAAATTCTCCTTTCCATTCTGTAAAAGACATGACAAGGGTACACTGTTATCAAATTTACTTTTAGATTTAGAACTTTAGAGCTCCAGTAGTTTGGGCCATCACATATTAATAAAAAGTTTAAATATGACTTTATTGTTTAGGCGGCAACCAGTGCTATCACATTCGTAAAGATAGTGAGTACAGTGGACAACATGGTGGGTGCTGGCAACGCTGCAGGCCAGGTCACCGTCTTCCAGATCCCGAAGGAGCACCCTGAAAATATTCCAGACACTTTCAAGCCCAAAGTGGAGCCCAAGGTAGAGAGGTATGTAATCTAGTAGGTGAGAATTATTAACTGAAATAATGTAGACAATACGACCTAGTAATATAATATGAATGAAAATTAACTTAATTCAAGTCGACTTATTAAAAGCTGTTTTAAATCCTCCATAAAAATTTCTTTCCTACCACCTGTTCAGAACATCTTTTAGAGGACAAGAAGAACTGGCAAAAGAAAGCTTTTTTGAAGTAGCAACATTTACATAAAAATATGTTGTTACCAATACAATATTATAATTTCATTCTTAATGTGTTACACAGTTCAAGAATATTTAATATTGCATTGTGCTCGATAACATTGATGAGCAAAGGATGAGAATATTTATTCCCAGACATTTAATTCTAAATAATATCTTGTATTTTACGGCGCCCATAACATGCGTGTTGGACAATAGAATAAGATGTTTAGCTGCATTTAAGTGTCGTAGTTGTAGTTTTCTGGAGCCCCCGTTTAGACTTTGCGGCCTCCTCAGGCTGCAGATAGACGACGCGAAAAATTTCTTGCGGCCGCCGCGCGGCGACCGCGTAATAACTGTTCAGTCATAGCAAATTTATGTTTTATTAACTAGGACTTAACGGAAATAATCTGCGATTTGTTTTTCGTATTCTCGCAGTTGGTTGTATAGCATATGAAATTCACCAAACTCTTCTCGACGTGCTACAATGGGATGAAACCAAAATCTTCTACATTTCTTTTTTTTCTATTTAGCTTTCTCGGTACAAGTAATATGCAATCATAATTTTCTTTTTCTTAGTCAAATAGCCCATAACGAATACGTGTGAATTTTAAGAAAGACCAAGATCAACTGCAAATGAATCGAGTTAGCAGTGGCGGGGCCACCAGGCGGTGACCGCGCGGCCGCCACGCTGTGACATTCTGTGTCATATAAACGCGCCCCCAGGGTTCCACAGAGCACACTTTGAATATGGCTACAATATCCAATGTTTATTTTCTTTCGCATAACGAGACGAAACAATTCAAATGAGATCTAATAGTGATATAATTTAAAGGAGTAAAGCATAGCTAATTTTCTGTCTGTGTGGGGAAATTATCCCGTGGGGAAATTAATTAATTTTCTGTCTGTGTGGGTGACGGGTCACCGGATTCGAGTTACCCATAAAACCTGGAAACACTGAAGTCACAGGTAACTTAATCTTCACATATAATAAAATGGTAGGAAAGTCAAAACTGCGCATTGATTTTTTTAAAAGAATACTTGGGGTGTGATTTGCAACCGATATCGAAGCCAAAAATATGGTGTTTAGAATTTTTGTCTGTATGTATGTCCGGGATAAACTCAAAAAGTACTGCATGGATTTACTTCAAATTTGGCACGAATATTATTAAGAAGTCGGGTCAACATATAGGCTACAAATTATCACGCTATCACCTACGGGGAACGAGCAGTGAACCTTTATTTCTAACTAACTCCACGCGTACGAAGTCGCGGGCGGCCGCTAGTAGTTAGGCTTAAATAGAGTAATCCACGAAAGGCAGCGGCATAACTGTGTCTCTGACAGACTGATTTTCATAGGCGACGGTTACCTTTCAACATCAGTCCCCGTAGCATGAGCACCACAAATTACATTATATCACGTTTTTTATCTCGTCGTACTTCATAGTAATATGACAATTGAGCGTGATAAAAATGCATTATACATCACATCATATCATGCTAGGGGGGCAGGTGGCCCGTCCCTCTCCTACGAGAGGGAGCAGCGGGAGGACCTGCGATGGGCACGCCCAGGCAGTCCCCCGCAGCGGACGGGGAGCGGTGTGGTGGGCAATAGACCGCACACTTAACTCCCAGCGCGGGCCTACCCGCACACGTCTGCGGGGTCTCCGCGATACCCCGGGAGACCCCTGCCGTGGAGCCCCGGCTAGTTCGGGAGGCTGCTAGGTGCGGAAACGCGGAAGAATCCCTAAACGGGGATCCCGTGGCTTCGCACTAAGCAGCTTAGAGGGTATTCGCAGGGTTTTTAGCGGATATTATGCAGTAAAGCGCCCTTAAGAGTTACGGGGTCCTCAGTGGGCAGCCATTGCGGGGGCCCGTAAAGCTTGCGGGAGCCAGGTGTGAGGTCCGTTCGGTGGTGTGCGTCTTAAAGGCGCCGTTGTCTGTAAACAGAGGCTTTGCCTGCGTTAACAAAAAAAAGGTGGCCCGTCCGCTCGTCTGCCTTCAAAGTCAATAAAAAAACTGCTTTTCACAATAGAATTCCGCTATAGGTGGCGCTTGCTACAGTGGATCCTCAGAACTAATTTTAGGCAGTTAAAAGAAAAGTAAAAATAACAACAAACCAATACAACTTTAACGGATGGCGACATCACGATAACGCTCCGTAAATAATGTTTTGGTAATTACAACATTTCCGTGCAGGCATATTATCTAACTTGCATGCAAACGATTTGCGAAAGGTTTTTATCGGGTTGCGTGACGTAAATAACTGCTTAAATTGCCGCTAAAATGAATCTCTTTAAAATAAGCAGTAGCGCAGACACCTCCGCTACTAATCACCACTGCGGTGGAGATTATGGTTTGCTTAAAATATCATATAAAAATCCGAATCAGCAATTCAGTTGTGTTGCGGTCGCATCGCAAATTACTAAATAGATTATGCCCCCGCGGACTGCGGATCTACTGAATTAGTTCTATTAATTGGCTCGAGTCCGAAGAACTTTACCTCGTATTGAGATTTTTATGTAGTAATTATATGTGAGCGTTTTTATGTAATTATATGAGCATTGTTATGTGATTCTAATATACATAATTACATAAAAACGTGTCACTCTCCCTTTGTTATTGATTGTTGTGTTCGACGGGGTTCATAATCATGCATATATATTTATAATAGTAATATCTTGTAAAACTTATGGAACACAATAAAACAAGGAGTATTGAGATTTGATTGCCATTTGAAGCCAATAGATTTGATGAGTTGGAAACATAATTTCTAATAATGCGAAGAGATAGCGCTGCCTTGCAGCTTAAGAATGGCTAGAAGAATTTCGACGCGGTCCGTGAGGGCCGCGGTAGCATAATTGGTCAGTGCATTCGCCCGGATTGCGAAGGGTGCGGGTTCGTGTCCCGTCTGCTGCCTGGTCCGCTCGGAATTTTTTCTAGTTATATTTTTTTTTAGATTTAAACATCAAGCAGTTACATGCTTAATAATAAAAATTATAAACATAATTTCTGCTGCAGTTAATAGCCAGCCTATTGTGACAATATGTCTTGCATCTTATGACGCACGCCGCACTCGCACATTAACCCCAATCCCAGGGGTGTTCACCTCTCTGGGTATTCCCCGCATCCTACGCGCCTAACGTTAGTCATACCGTTTTAATCATTCACTTACTAATTTACTACACATTATACTTAAACAATTTTTTTTAAATATGATAATCATAAATAGCATTTTGAATAAGACATTCTTGAAGCTATAGTGACAAAAATCATTTATTTGCAATCCAGAGGCCCAAATACAACATTTTGACAGCTTCGTAAGGTATAGTATCGTCAAAGTTTCTTTGAAAACTAAGTACCTATCGGACGTTAGAACAAACTAGCTTTTTCCATACAAAATTTGGCGATGACGAAACGTCACGGAGCTGTCAATATTCGTGCTTGGGCCTCTGGTGACAAAGGTCTTGTTATTTTATACATCTGCAAACTGTTGATACAAAATTTGTTAAATCGTTTATACAGCAACTTTTTCCCTAGTTCACTACCGGATTGTCCATTTGAGGATTCCTACGGTTCTACTCATGGTCGAACTTTTCCAGTAACACATTCCTTAATTTGGTTTGAATATTTTTCTCTTAGTTTCAGAAAAAAGAACTGTCTTTATAGCCTTAGATTTTATTATTTTAGGAATAATACTTGAGGTCGTTTCATTTGAGGATTCCTATGGTACCCTATACATTAAAATTTATTTAGACATTTATTAGTACATATTATTAATGGTCGAACTTTTCCAGTGACACATTCCTTAATTTGCTTCGAATATTTTTTCTCTTAGTTTCAGAAAAAAAGAACTATCTTTATAGCTTTAGATTTTATTATTTTAGGAATAATACTTGAGGTCGTTTCATTTGAGGATTCCTACGGTACCCTATACATTGAAATTTATTCAGACATTTCGTAGTTATGATGGAGCAAAGAAACGCATAAACAAATATACAAGAACTCTAAAAACTTTACACTCCTTTTTGCGGTCATTTAAAAATAGTGAACTTAACCACATGTATAAACAGTGGTCTAACTCAACCTTGGTTTATATAATAAGGCTTCGTTTACTAGTGAAACCGCATGTGCCCCGCGTCATGTTCACGGACACACAACAATTCAACACTTGGCATAACTTCAGTATAAATGCTGCAGTCGAGGCCATATTGGTTTGCAACTTGACATTGACGAATCTATTACGCGGCAATGGGTACACTTTCGGGGTGTTGATTTATTTAAGTTTTAACGTAATACTCGTGTCTCTATGGAAATTATTGAAACATCGATGGTGCTGCTTGGACAGTTTGTTAACACACGATAAAATTAATAGGACATTTTGACTGTTGGTGAATTCTTCCGTCGAAACTTGTGGGCTTAGCGAGGTAATGGCTAAGCCTACACTGAGAACACCCCCTACCCTGTGAACTGTGGAAACCATACTCACCAACGGATACATACTACTACTAGAAAGTAGTATTATTAAACTGTGGTCTTCCATAAGGTGGATGTTATTTCCCCAGATGGGTATCGGGCACCCTTTTCAAGGGGAAATCCGCTATGCTCTACCCCTCTTCAAAAACTTTGAGACAACACCAAAACATATTTTACAAAATCCAAAAAAATATCAAATGACTCCCCCCCACCTGATGTTTAGTAACGGTGAAGTCCAGACACGAAGATAGCTGATACAGCAGTTCTACCTGCCAGCCATCCTCACCCTGCCGGCCTGCTTGTTGCTTCTTTACGCCTCTTCTAAAGAATCCCAGGTTGTAAGAGGGGAGATTTCCTCCCGGTACCCTATACATTGAAACGTGAGCGGGCAGAGCATTCCATTTAAGGATAGTGCGACAAAGAAATTAGTCACCAAACTTCTTTGTACGCGGTCGGTGGCGACGTAGGGCAGCGCGCGTGGTCCTCTGAAGGAAAGGGGAAGGTGGAATAAGAGAGAATAACTCCTCAGAACACTCGCAGTGGTACAGACAATAGAACGCGCTTAATAACTCTCCTGTTCATTCCTTAAAGAGCATGATAAGAATAAACTGCTGTTAAATTTAGTAAGGCATATAGGTATAAATAGCCATGTCAAGTGCAAGCATTTCATTATGTTAGTAAATAGTAAAATGCTTTATTTCGCATATTTTTCTAGTAAATATAAGAATATTTAATTTCATATCTCTTTTTGTAGGTATACAATAGGAGATCTCCACAAGTCCACGATCACCGCGATAGAATGGTCGAAGAATGGCATGCGGCTCTTCTCCGGTGACAAGAACGGCGTCATCATTATGACTGAAATCGATTTCTACATGGTGAGTCAAGATTGCAAACGCTTCTTATAAATAGTTATTGATCCGTGCATATACATAGATGATTTTTTCAATCATCGCCGGTCATTGCAAAGACCTTGGAGCCAAATAATAATCGCGCAGTTCCGTTTCTAAGGTACATCCTATCTCGCACTTTGCTTTATTGGGTAATGCAAAGTTTCCTCTCACAGTTTTAGACTATGGCACGGTGTTTTTCAAAAAGGGTCTTTGAAGATTTAACAGTGCCGATCGTGTGCCAATGATGTTTCTGATATTACAACCAGTATCCATCAGCACAACGTCCTTTGGCTTTAAGAAAATTGTAATAACATGGAATACCCTCTTATAGTGTTGACTTTAGATTAAAAGAAAAAGGGAAGATACGATACGCTCATACTAGCATGGAATAAAATATGCTCCGACTCAACTACATAAGCAACTCTCACGCGACGAGCGAGAGAGACAGAACTGTACCCCTAGCACGAACCATTGTCGAATTCGAATAGTTTGCAAACCGAAATGTCAATGTGAAATTTTGTATGGAAACTTGAACAGCAGCGGCACAAAGTACGCAACGCGAACTAAAAATCAGTACACATTTGACAATGACATTTCGGACTCGCAAACGATACGAATTCGATATTGGTTCGTGCTAGGGGCACTGTACGCTTCAACGCAGCGGGAGCAAAACAGCGCCCCCGCGTCGCTCTCTCTACAAACGGCTCAGCTGTATTGTTGTCCTTTTCTTAATAACAAATGGCGAAAAAGTTAATAGCGATCCTGACATCCCGTAATTTTTGAGAAAAGTTTTCGTAGTTTTACGAATGAAGTGTTGCCGTGAAATTTGGTATTGAATCTTCAACTATTTCTGTTCTTTATAAAAGCATCAAAGGCATTGTTTTATCTTTATAACACGGACTTTACGCAATATTGTTACATCGAGTACACATGCAGCGTGTTTGAATGCCCAATTGTGACTAAAGCGAGTTGTGGTCATACACAACAATTTAAGCGGATCACTTTTGAGCCGCGAGTGCCGTATCTTCCCTTTTTGTTTTAATCTAAGGAGGTAGTGGACTGAGTGCAGACTAGAAAGGTAAGAATAAGAAAGGCTGCAGCTGCTTTTTTTCCTGCTGCAGCAGCTACTTCAGCCCACAAGCAATAATAACATGAGATATTTTTTTAATATTTCCAACACACACCAATAGGGGTGATGACGGGGTACACTAAACGAAATTCTATTAAGTCCGTCAGTTAGATGATCAAAAAATAATGGACACGTATTTTTTCTTTGGGCAATCAACCAAAAAATGACAAAGTTATAGCGCGTCAAAGTTTGGGAGTAGGGGCTCGTGACGTCACTTTTGAGTGAAATTTCGCTTAAAAGTGTACTCAAACGTGACATCATGCGACTTTTCAAATCAATATATCTCTGCAATATTTATATTATGTGAAAAAAGAAATAATACGTGTCCAATACTTTTTGATAATCTACCTGATAAACGAAGAAAAAAAAATTAGTCATCATCCCTATTAGCGTAGCTCCAAAGTAAGCACAGTAGGCTTGTGTTATGGAATACTAGGGTAACGGATAGAATACAATTATACTGATACATATATAGGTATAGTTATATAGGAATACATATTTAACATCAAGTCTATAGTACAAATGCTCGTATCCATCACACAAACATCTGCCCCCACCGGGATTCATATCACCTGTTAAGTAGGCGACACCTTGAAACCCGGCGTATACCACTCGGCCACGGAGGTCGTCAAAACCACCTCATCTCAAAAATTATGTATAGAAAATATTATTCACAAACTTGTCAGCCATGTCTAAATTTATCATTTCTTCCTGTTTCACTTGCGATAACTCGTTTTGTAATTATATTTTTCACATTGCAAAATAAGAATAACAGTAATGCGATATTATTATCTTTCCATATTAATAATGGTGATGATAATGTTGCGATGTATTTACACATTTTGTGTATAATACAATAAAACCAATTAAATAGGGTATTTGACAGTATTAAAAATAAAGTGCCAATTGTTAGCATCTGTGTTGAGAATGAATATTGGCAGGGGTTTTTACTATTTTTACAAAAAAATATTCATAATTTTACTAAAAACCCACGAAAAAGTTTTCTTATCTATTGTCATGTGACCCAAAACGGTTGGGATTGGCGGAGCCTAAAATGACGTCACACGCAAGTAACTTCCGGTTAAAGTAACATTGCATTGTATCGTTTGACGTTTTCATAACAGTCGTGTGACGTCACACACTAGTAAGACGCCATATTGTCCAGAAAAACGTGTTCACGGCAACTTGTAAATGGAGTTTTTGATTTGGTTATTTTTACTGAAAATAAACATTAGTCGATAACGTGAGATCGTTTTCTAAAACTTGTCAAATACCCTATGCTGTCTTGAATATGCACATGGTTTTCATTGCAACGAAGGTAATTTTGTGTAAACAATTTGAAGACGTATGTAGTATTATTAAAATGCTTTTTTTACCCATCAGCTTTCTAATGGTCGAATCGATCGATCGGCAAAATCTATTGATGTTATTTTTTTTAATCAAAAACTGGTTGTAATGTTAATAGATCATAATTTCAAAACATATCAAAAGCCCGATTTATGAGTTTCTTTCGCCCGTTTTTTTTAAACATAAACATATGCCCCTAACGGTTAGGAGAACCTTTAAAGGTCGATTCACTAAAGCTCAGAGATGTAAAAGATACATTAAAAAAAGTATCTGAAATACAAAATACAAGATACCAGTTAGTCAAGTATTTAGATAAAAAATATAAGATACCTTAGGAAAAAATATTTTAAATACCAGACACAAGATACTTATTTTCAGATACAAAATATTTTTTTTAAGATAAAGATGCTTTTTGAAACAAAACATGTTAGCAAATAGCCAGTCCACTGTGCCTGTTTTTTGAAAACAAAACTGTTAGGCCACGCCTCTAAAGACGCTTTTCTTTCAATCATCAAATCATTATCATCTTACGGTTGATCTTACTCGTATTCACGTTTCTTCAATATTTTTCAAGAACTAAGAATTAATGATAGTTTCGGTGTAATTTTTTTTCGATATTATAAAAGTGCAGGGTGTTTATGATTGGTCAGGTTTAGGATGGGTGACCATGATTATAATTACGCAGGTTGTTTACGATTGGTTAGGTTTGGGATGGGTGACCGCGATTATTAATAATATGCAGGTTGTTTACGATTGGTTAGGTTTGGGATGGGTGACCGCGATTATTAATAATATGCAGGTTGTTTACGATTGGTTGGGTTTGGAATGGGTGACCGCGAATATTAATAATATGCAGGTTGTTTACGATTGGTTGGGTTTGGAATGGGTGACCGCGAATATTAATAATATGCAGGTTGTTTACGATTGGATGGGTTTAGAATGGGTGACCGCGAATATTAATAATATGCAGGTTGTTTACGATTGGTTGGGTTTGGAATGTGTGACCGCGATTATTAATAATATGCAGGTTGTTTACGATTGGTTGGGTTTGGAATGTGTGACCGCGATTATTAATAATATGCAGTGTTTGCGAATGGTCTTGTTCAAGAAATGATATCATTAATAAGCTCCGGTCTCTCTCTCTAATTATTTGTAAAAATAACCTGATTATTTTCTCCATTTCACTCCATTACAAAACAGACTAAAGAAAATTGACACAAATTTCAAACGACTCTTCTTCCTCTAGTGAACGCTTACAAAAAATACGTAACTTAGGGGACGTTACGTATTTTTTGTTCATTACCATTTTGTTCATATCATTAAGGTGAACGAGACGGCAACATTATACACTTACGGTTTTCTTTTCACGGTGAACAAAGTTGATAGAAAAGTAAAGCACTGAGGCTTAGAATAGTAACACGCTAAGTTACAACAATGTATGCGTTTTTAAATTAATTTTAAACATTATATAGGAAAAGAAAAAGTATCTTAGTAAAAAAAGAATCTTCAAAATACTAAGATACTGAAAAAAAAACATAATTAAATACAATATACAAAATAAATTTTAGAAAAGTATTTGAAATACAAGATACAAATATATATCTTGCATCTGTATCTCAGATACTTTTATCTGGTTTTTTTTCCTAAATGGCTTCGCACGGCATGTGCATTTAGCCAATGACAAGTGTTAAAATGTTCACTAATTCTATAGCACGCGTGGTCAAAGTAATAAAAGAAGTCAAAGTAAGTGGCAGTCAAGTCAATCCCCCTTTCCCTATGTTTCAGTAAATGTGTGGGGATTTACTAGAACCTCCCCGTGGACTTCTTGAGGAAACATCGAAAGACACTTTCTACTATTTTGTTTCACTTGCCAACACTTGTTCATGTTCCCGAAAACTTAGTGGTTAATAATCCACCATTATTAGACACTAAAATCCACCACAACACAATTTTTAAAAAGAACAAGAAAACTGCTAAATTTACGCTTTCCGATCCCGCCAAAAAGTCCTACTTTTATCTTAGATAAGTCACATCTCTGCTAAAGCTCTTACTGCCTTATTACAAAACGTAGACTAAAGTTAAACCCGGTCTAAAAATAATACTGTCACTTTTGTTTGCTAAAAAGTATACAGAATAAAAATACCTTATTAGGTTTAACTATTCCATGTTGTTACGTGTCGGGATGGGGTTCGAAATTATATGCCAGTTCACGCTTGACAGCTCTTTATTCACCACATAGTTCACACAATGTTAATTACAAAACACTCACTAAACACTGTATTTCACTATACGAGTCTCTAAACAATCGCACTTGAACACTTTTGTTGCACTTTGATCGCCTTTGGATTCGCTCCGAAATCGCTGTTGAAACTCAACTGTCTCTGCGCGGCGCCAATCGCGCTTATTTACGTCTACTTACGTCGTTCTAGAAAGTACCTGTTAATTTGAGAATTAACTAGCACCCGCGAGTACGAAGTACATACTTATAACTACGCAGTCGTTGCATTTTCTCCCTTACGCGGCACTGCATAAGGCTCATTTTAGAATGAGCCTCATTACTCGACCTCTATCGCGACCCGCAGTGATCTGGCAAATTCGATCTGTAGCACTTTCGCGGTTACGTTTCGAGAGCGTTTGTGACAATATTTTTGAATAAAGCGGTTGAATTTTATTTTTATTACGTTTGTTTGTTTGTCACCAGCATCTGTGCAAGTCGATGGAGATAGTGAACGAGGAGCATGAGATAGTCCAGCTCAGCTATCACCAGAACACTCTGCTAGTGTCCAGTGTGTACCGCAGCATCGTGTGTGAGCGACGCGACGGGCGCTGGCAAGTCAATCAAATAGGCAAAAAGGAGCGAAAGAGGTGAGAGCTGATTAGGAATTAAAATCTATCCCATGTTCAAAATTTTGTTTCCGACCAACTTCCAAATCATATTAGGATCTAAATAAAACAAGTTTTAACGGTATAGATGCACTGATTTATTTATTGACGTTTCTCATCCTTTTCAGGATGAATTAAATTCGTTCTTCTGAATTAAAACGTCAATAAATAAATAAATCAGTGCATTTCTATACCGTTGAAACTTGTTTTCTTTAATGAGTGGTGTGCGTGAAAATCTAAGAAACAAATACATATAAGGATATGTCCGATTTTGTGTGAATCGGATGTTATTGGACTTGTCAGGTTCGAAATTATATGCCAGTTCACGCTTGACAAATTTTTATTCACCAAACAGTTCAAACAGTTCTTTCGAAAATACCCAACTCTACAGTCACTGTACACTATTATACAAGTATTTAAACAATCGCACTTGAACACAACTTCCACTTTGAACGCCTTTGTATTCGTTCCGAGATCGCTGTTGAAACTCAACTGTTATCGCTTTGAAAGTAAACTGTCCCCTGCGCGGCGCCGAACGCGCTTATATACGCCAATCGACGCATTCCAGAAGAGTCCAGTGAAATTGTGAGGTGACTAGGACCGATAGATCTTAGTTATAATTTGGTTACTCGCATGAGTTGTAAATAAGTGCAGATGTCATTGCACTTTCACCCTTACGAGGCACTGTATAGGGCTCATTTAACCGAAAGACCCGCTTCACTCGGCCTTCATCGAGTTCGTCACGTCGCGAGGCCTGGTTAAATCGTTTCCGGCTCAGAAAAGATTAAAACAAAAAGGAAAGATACGGCACACGCGGCTTAAAAGTGATCCGCTTAAATTGTGGTGCATGACCACAATTCGTTTTAGTCATAATTGGACATTCAAATACGCTGCTGTGCCTTCAATATAACAATATTACGTATATTCTGTGTTATAAAGATAAAACTATGCCTTCGATGCTTTAATAAAGAACACAAATAGTTCAAATTCAAATAACAAATGCCTCGGCAACACTTTCATTCGTAAAACTGTAAAATCATTTTTTACACAAAAATCACGGTTTGTCGTGAATGTTATTTACGTAACGCCATTTTATTATCAAGAAAAGGACAACAATACAGCTCACCCGTACGGACTCGGACGCGGACTCGGACTCGCCGTTTTGCTTGCGCTGCGTTGAAGCGTACAGTACCCCTAGCACGAACCAAAATCGAATACGTAACGTTTGCGAGTCCGAACTGTCATTGTCAAATGTGTACTGATTTTTAGTTCTCGTTACGTACTTTGTGCCGCTGCTGTTCAAGTTTCCATACAAAATTTGACATTGACATTTCGGACTCGCAAGCGAAATTCGATATTGGTTCGTGCTAAGGGATAAACAGACGTGTGGTAGTGTGGGAGTTGCATATGTAGTTGACTCGGAGCATATTTTATTTGATGCTAGTATGAGCGTACCGTATCTTCTCTTTTAGTTTTAATCTAAGGTTTTCGGTAATTTCGTGGTTTTGGTTCGAGGGCGTTTGTGCGATTATTTTCAAACTTTGAAGTTCCATTTTAGAGTTTTAATTTTTAATAAGTAGCTAAACAAGTTGTTGAGGAGCTCGATAACGCAAATGGTTAGCGCGTTCGGCTGCAATCGTTGAAGTTAAGCAACTTTCGCAGTGGTCGTACATATTGGATGGTTGACCAATAATTTACTATCGCGAGCTCCTCCGTTCTTCGGATAGCTCATTAAGCCGTTGGTCCCGGCTGCATGCGCAATCGTTTGCATCCACCAATCCTAGTCATGGCTGCACCTGCTGTCGTTAGCACCCACCAATCCACACTGGGACCACGTGGTGGGTCATGGCCCTATCTCCAAGCTCCATCCATAGGAAAGGCCTGTACCGTGTACCTGTAATGATGAAACGTGTCGTACCATTGCAGCCTGTCCCCATTGGGCGCGGTATTCCAGTATTCGTACGCGCGGGGCGGTGAGGCGGCGGTTTACTGCGCTCGTCCCGGGCTGCGGCTGTGGCGCGCCGATAAGCAGGGTGGCGTGTTGCAGACGCTACTGTTGAAGGTGCCCGCCACATATTTATTCATTTATCTACTCTTCATTGGGATTTTTAAAGCTAAAATTTCTTTAGCAACGTTGTGATTTCAGATTCGATAATAATAATAATAAATATTTCCGACACTCACACCAATTAGCCTAGCCCCAAAGTAAGCACTATAAGGCTTGTGTTATGGGATGCTAGGGTAACGGATAGAATACATATACTGTACATATATAAGTATATTTATATAAATACATATTAAACATCCATGACTGGAGTACAAATGCTCGTATTCATCACACAAACATCTGCCCCCACCGGGATTCGAACCCGGGACCTCTCGAGTCGGCGACAGCCATGAAACCCGTCGTACAAACCACTCGGCCACGGAGGTCGTCATCGATCGTCGTCGTCGGTCGGTCGGTTCGGTCGTCGTCGATGACACAGAAGTAAAGTATTTGACACAAGTTAGGTATTCGTAATTTTATCATTTACATAAAGAGACATATAGCCGAACGGTAAAGATCTTGGGGTCGACACCTAAAGATCGGTGGTTCGATCCTGCAGCTCGAGAGTGCGGGTTCGAGTCCCGTCTGCTGCTTGGTCCGCGTGGAATTTTTCTAGTAATATATCTCGTGAATTTTAGGCGATCCAAATTTTTGAGAGACGTAGGTTGATAAAGCTATGGCTTTTCACCATAGTGCTGCTATGGATTTGACTTCGGCAATCGAGCTGGTCTGCGTGTATTTTTTTTTCTTGTAAAATTTTCTTAAGATTTAAAAAAAAGTAGCAGTTGAATGCTTTAAAAATAAAATATTTATTTATTTATTTATGGTACAGCGACAGAGTACAAATTATAACTTACATATTATTATACAAAATTATTGTAATACATAAACTTGCACCCCAATTGATGCTGAACACGACGTTTGCTTAATTTTAGCTCTCAAATTTGAATAAATAATTATTATAATAATTAATTATGCAATTACAATTAAAAAAAGAAATAATTAAATATGTATGTACTAGTCAAGAATTATAAATAATAATAACAATCAATTTAATTACAATTTGCTCCTGCATATTCGTAAGTAGGAGGAGTGGGAAATGGCAAAGATATCCACGTCTTTGGCTATTTCATTAAGGGCTCTAAGGGCTCTGCTCATTCTATATAATGTTATAACTAAAGTTATTATTATATAACATTACTATTTCTGTTTATGGTGTAACCAGGACGCGATATCCAACCCGCTGACGGTAGCGGAGCTCCTCAACCCGTGCACTCGACCGAGGCCGAGCGCGGACACGGAGCGCAGCTTCGGGCCGCTGCACGTGTTCCGCGACCAGTTCCTGGTGACGCACGACGCGCGCGCGCTCTACGTGCTGGAGCCGCGCGCCGCCCGCGCCGTGTGCGTGCTGGACGCGCTGCGCAGGTGGGTACTGGGGGCCTACCTCCTATAGGCGGATGGGCCGCTGCACGTGTTCCGCGACCAGTTCCTGGTGACGCACGACGCGCGCGCGCTCTACGTGCTGGAGCCGCGCGCCGCCCGCGCCGTGTGCGTGCTGGACGCGCTGCGCAGGTGGGTACTGGGGGCCTACCTCCTATAGGCGGATGGGCCGCTGCACGTGTTCCGCGACCAGTTCCTGGTGACGCACGACGCGCGCGCGCTCTACGTGCTGGAGCCGCGCGCCGCCCGCGCCGTGTGCGTGCTGGACGCGCTGCGCAGGTGGGTACTGGGGGCCTACCTCCTATAGGCGGATGGGCCGCTGCACGTGTTCCGCGACCAGTTCCTGGTGACGCACGACGCGCGCGCGCTCTACGTGCTGGAGCCGCGCGCCGCCCGCGCCGTGTGCGTGCTGGACGCGCTGCGCAGGTGGGTACTGGGGGCCTACCTCCTATAGGCGGATGGGCCGCTGCACGTGTTCCGCGACCAGTTCCTGGTGACGCACGACGCGCGCGCGCTCTACGTGCTGGAGCCGCGCGCCGCCCGCGCCGTGTGCGTGCTGGACGCGCTGCGCAGGTGGGTACTGGGGGCCTACCTCCTATAGGCGGATGGGCCGCTGCACGTGTTCCGCGACCAGTTCCTGGTGACGCACGACGCGCGCGCGCTCTACGTGCTGGAGCCGCGCGCCGCCCGCGCCGTGTGCGTGCTGGACGCGCTGCGCAGGTGGGTACTGGGGGCCTACCTCCTATAGGCGGATGGGCCGCTGCACGTGTTCCGCGACCAGTTCCTGGTGACGCACGACGCGCGCGCGCTCTACGTGCTGGAGCCGCGCGCCGCCCGCGCCGTGTGCGTGCTGGACGCGCTGCGCAGGTGGGTACTGGGGGCCTACCTCCTATAGGCGGATGGGCCGCTGCACGTGTTCCGCGACCAGTTCCTGGTGACGCACGCTGGTGCGTACAGTACCCTTAGCACGAACCAATATCGATTCGTAACGTTTGCGAATCCGAAAAGTCTTTGACTAATATGTAGTGATTTTTAGTTCTCGTTACGTACTTTTTGACGCAGCTGTTCAAGTTTTCATAAAAAAATTGACAATGACATTTCGGAATCGCAAACTATTCGAATTCGATATTGGTTTGTGCTAGAGGTACTGTAAGATTCAAACTTACGAAACTGCGTATGAGCGCAGCGTCTTTCTGTCTAGAAAATAAGTTATGGCCAAAGGGGAAGTATCAGCCTCCGAGATGGGTGATGGTCTCTCTATATGCAGAAATAGCCTCCGAATTTCTCTTGCGGGATGTAGGCTACCATACTTTATGAATGCACCGCCAACTCTTGTATTGGAGCGGCAAGTCTTGCTTCGTTAATTACATGTGGGGCGTGTAGATGTCGCCGCCGCAGAACTCTTATTTTACACTAACCTTTCATCATCATAATCAGCTTCTTAATGTCCCCACTGCTGAGATACAGGCCTTCCCTATTGATGGAATAGGGAGATTGGGCCATGACCCACCACGCGGGCCCATTGCGGATTGGGGGGTGCTAACGACTGCAGATGCAGCCGGGACCAACGGCTTAACGTGCCTTCCGAAGCATGGAGAAACTCGAGATATAAGGTTTTTGGTCACCCATCCAATGACCGACCACTGCGAAAGTTGCTTAACTTCAACGATCGCAGCCGAACGCGCTAACCATCTGCACCATAGAGCTCCTCTAACTTTTATTTTATTTTTTACACAGGATATTGTCAGTGTCAGTTAACAAAGAAGAGATCTTCGTACTGGAGGGGCCTCGATCACTCGTGAGGTTAGCAGCGGCGCCCGATCACACCGCACCGTCAGGTCTGTTCGCCAAACTGACCGCGTAGTTAGCATTCACCCTTACATAACCGCCAATAAAGGTGCTATTATAAAAGCCAAGTCAATTTTTCAAACCTTTTTGACACCACAGAGCACCTCCACTAGAGAAATTATAGAAATAGGGTTGTGCACCCGCTTGTGTCAAGCCTAGATAGTATTACGACATATGTGTGTTTTTAACACACCTCCTGTACGAGCCCTTGTCAACTCAGTTCATTGAATTTCTAATTCTTGATATCGAAGACAGGAAAACACTTGATAAACTTGACGAAAATATTTATTATTAAACTTGAAAGTAACTAGTGTGCACACTGCTTGAGACAAACGCGAACTAACTTGGGCGTGATTATGAAATATATTTAAACGGTAAAATATTGACCTAAACAGTTACTTGTGGTTAAAAAAATGTACGATTTGATCGTACACCGCCAATATCTGTAGCTCATGCCACAATTTACAATATTGGTGTCGATTCTGGCAGGGTTCTCTATACTTATAACTAAATTTAACATTAGTCTCTCCTTTTCATTCCATATAGAGAATGACAAGGATACACTGTTGTCAAATTTAAGATTAGGTTTAGAGAATCATGCCAGAATCGACACCAATATGTTTTTTATCGCGTGTTACCTCTATAGTTATTTGACAAATTGAGTGTGTTAGAAACGAGCTATATATCATATCGTGGTCATCATGCTAGGAGACAGATATCGACCAATGGCGATACATTGTTTCACCGAATTTGTCATCCAACTGTGACGTCACACTGATGTGTCCAATCAGAACGCACACCGCGATTTGACTTTCCTCGTACGTCGCCAACTTTGGCGATTTGAAGTTTCAAACTAAAGTTGAGTAAAGCGGGCTCTAATGGGGATACTCTTATGTGTGAAACTTACGTAGATCAATATAGGTGCAAGAGCAAAATCGCTCAAGTAAAATCTTCATCCTTTTCACATTCGCGCTAGAAATTCTTAAGATAATTTTATTGCCTATTACGTATTACGAAATTCTCGATTCCTTTTGAATGTTATGGGAAGGTAAAAGGTAACTCTGACAGCATTTCAGTTTATTGTAAGTAAAGCAAAAAGAGTTTCTTAAAATTACATTTTTTTAATGTTTTTATTTTTTTATGGCTATATGTTAAATATTCACAATACCTTTAGTTCTTATAACTCGTGCCATTAAAGAAACAAATAGAAAATTCTGACGCAAGACATTCTGTCTCGTTCGCATATTACTTAGGATAGCATGTACGAGATTGACAGTGTGTCTTACGTCGTCATTTGCGATAGCATTCGTTAATGACACGAATTAAACTTATTAACACAGCTTATTATGATTTGATTGTTTAAACAAAAGCATTAGAATATGATCTCGATCAATCTGCCGTCCTCGAAACTAAAGGGCGGCTAAGTGACAGGTGGTCGATTTTTTAGTCTTAAATTGCATCTCATAGAGTTTTTAATTCTCAATCGATCTGTTTTTAACAAGTATTCCTATCTTTTACCCCCTTATTAATAAACAAGGAATAAGCTTAAGACTATTTATGCTGTGTTTTGTTCATGTCACTTATATGCCATTTGTCATTCAAAACAGAGACAAAATATGGAGTAACTATTCCAAGCTTATTATTCGTTTATTAATAAGGGGTTAAAGTTTAAGTCTAAAAATCCGTCATGTGATGAATGGTTACAAAATAGCAATCAATCATTTAAAGTTTACTGCTTTTTGGTCGTATCTCAAAAATTTAATTTATCGTTTAGCCACATTTTAGTTTGAGGACGCCATCAATATTTTTATCCCTATGAGTATTGCAATAAGCATTAAACGCATTGATCTACGCGTTTTCATTGTTTATCATCACGTGAAATGTTATTTTTTACTTTTGCTTTTTGAGCGTATGTGAGAAAAGGACTGAGATTACAACTTTTTGTCTTCGTCTAACTTATAAAAATTAAGTTTTTATAATGGCCGTTACAGTATTCTATTTTTCATAATCCTGCTATAGAGACATATCATCCAATCTAGTAAGTTAATCATAGAGAATGTTATTGCATGCGAACGCATGATTATTTACTATAGGGAAGAAAACTGCCAATTTATCCCGCCAGAGGCGCAGATGTCGTATGGCCCATGACAACAAATCGAGACAGTCAGAACATAATATGTACCATGGAGGTTAAAGATAAGGAGAACGTTCGCTGTAGAAAATAGTGTCCCAGAAATATGGACAAAATAAGTGAGGCGCTGCGATCGCTAAGTTGTCTCAATAAGAGCGGGCTGTTGTGAGCTAATATGAAATGACCAATGCAGCGAAGAAATTTGTACATTATTCAACTATCTTCATCTACTTGTGCTCATAAACAGCTAACTGCACAGATACTACTTACCGAAGTCAGCGCGGCTGGTGGCTGAAAAATGAACTATAAATTCTAGAAATTTTCAGGGTTGATGCTTTAGCACGTAGCGATCGTTCTCCTTCTCTCTAACCTCCATGATATTTACTATTTACAAACCTACGCTCCAGGTGCGACAAATGTCAAAATTGATATAAGTTTCACATTTAACATTTTATGTCAAAATTAAAAAGTCAGGGTATAAAGTTGCACTCGAAGCATAGGTTGAGAACGAAGCCTTGAAATGCCAGGTTGCTTGTTATGGGCCAAACGGCCAAAGCGCCATCTGTAATAAGCTTTGCGTTTACTTCCCCATTATTAGAATAAGTAGTGCTACTACATACTACTGCCTATATTTTATTATTAATTATACTACATAACAACAAAAATAAATATACAAATACGTTACGGTAATAATGATTGATAAATACACGAAAGTGGTGCTAAAACTGTTACAACCTGTTCTAGTTGTTAGCTGATATTGTATGACAAGTATTTTTTATGGAATTTTTCACTTTTTTTATATTGACGAAGTTTTTTTTACTTTTCCGTAGAGAAACAGTATTGATTTAAATATGTTCATATATGTATCTTTAGTTGTATGTATTGACATAAGCAATGTCCGAACTATTATATATGCATTTATTTTATCGTCAATGAAGTTTAAACAAAAGTTTGTTAAATATTTAATTATGGTATACTATTTTATTTGACTAAAACCACTATATCTATTAATAGGCTAAAGTTTCTGTAAAAGAAACAAGGAATAAAGTTTCTTTTGTATAAACTTTATTCCCCTAATTGCAAAACATTGACTAAAGTTTATCCAAAAAAAAGAAAGCATGTGGAATTTTAAATTTATACTTAGTTTAATGGTTTTAAATTTACTCCAAGTTTTGTACTGAGGCGGTTTCAAATAATTATTACTTTAACTTAATTATTGTGCCTTATATTCTCTCCGTCCTGCACAAATATCAAATATGTATTATAGTACACTGGCCAGCGGATTGGAAATGATATGGAACACGAACTGCGCTTAAAAGTGATTCCACGGAAACTGCGATCAAGTGGGCGGGGCTAAAAAAATGCGATCAACACACCGATCATGGAATCGCTTGGCATTTCCGTTTACAATTATCTTACCAAATGAAAAGATAGTTGAATTTCTTTGCAGATATTTGATTTGACAAATTTATTTTTATTTTGTCTGTGTTCATGTCGCGTTAGTATCGAAGTTTAATGGTATGAGTATTGAATCATATATTATCGGTCTTTGTTAGAGAATAAGGCTTCCATATCATTTCTAATACGTTGACACCGGCATATCTTAGTACTAAGAACAACGATTTTGTATGTGTTTATGTATAAGTATATAATAAAAATAGCTGTATAATGATATTTAATCGGTTGGTGACACGGAAGCGCTTCTGCTACGATGCTACTGGGTTTAAATCCCGGTAGGTTTTTTTTGTTGAACACAAGTATTGGTGTTCGAGGCATGGTTGTTTTTAAACTTTCATTTGTTTTAAATACGTTTTTAAGTGTCCATAGGACAAACAATAAAATAGCTGGTGCGAGTGGTGCGAAATTTATTATTATAATTATAAGTATTACTTACAAAGTGAGGAGCTCGATAGCGCAAGTGGTTAGCGCGTTCGGCTGCGATCATTGAAGTTAAGCAACTTTCGCAGTGGTCGGTCATTGGATGGGTAACCAAAAATTACTATCTCGAGCTCCTCCGTGCTTCGGAAGGCACGTTAAGCCCTAACGGCTTAACCCGGCTGCATCTGCAGTCGTTAGCACCCACCAATCCGCACTGGGCCCGCGTGGTGGGTCATGGCCCAATCTCCCTATGCCATCCATAGGGAAGGCCTGTGCCCCAGCAGTAGGGACATTAATAGGCTGATGATGACTTACAAAGTGCCAACATAGTACTTAATGGTTTTAACAACCACGTACACTTAGATTGCAAAATACTAATGCAAAGACGGGTTCGATTTCCGTCTTAACCTTAGAGAGGTTAATATTTTGTTTGGATATAAATATCTTGTAGATAATATAAGTTATTTACGGGATTGTTACCATGTACCTTGTTTTTAGCGAGTTTCCGATATTTCGGCAGTATTGCAAGCGCCATGATCACGGAGTAACTGAAGTAATTGCGGGTACCACTGTTCACATTCTCACCAGGATTCCAGACACTCGACAATTTAAACCCGTCCTCACGATTGAAATTTTTATGTTTTGTTATTACAATCGCTTCCCTGGCCAATCTTGGTATGTAGTGGCGTTCTGTCGAGATAATCTGTGGGTTATTAAAACAAGGGCTAAAAACAAGGTACATGGTAACAATCCCGTAAATAACTTATATTACTATAATGTTAGTGACCATGAAAGTTTAAAACAATATATCTTGTAGATTTTAAAATATGACATTGAATTTGCTACGTTCACTTAACGTTCCTTTTAGAATTCACAGTTATGGTAAGGTAACCCTAAGTTGTTCTAATTGGAAAGAAAACTAACTTTAATTGTTGATCGAAACTTTAATTTCCTGTCACGCAGATAGTACTTAACGATGTT